GGGGGGGAAGTTGCCTCTCCCCCTAAAGCACCTGGAGTGAAATTAGGGAAGGCCCTTCTCCCAGGAGCAGAAATGTCACTAGTCACTCACTAGAGGACATGGGGTAAGAAGTGTGTGCATGTAATATATGGATTATTTCTACACTGGAGCTGTGTTTGGACCCTCATGTATGAATTGTGGATATCTGCAAGGAGATCTGCAAAGCCTCCAAGAGTGACTTCCCACAGTAAATTTTCTACCATCTTGATTTCTTCAGGGCTAAACCTAGAAAACCACATTTCAAGAAACACCGATCTATAAACTGAAGAGTCCTCTGACATACATCCTGCTATGGGTTCCAATACAGCCTGTGGCTATCATTAGCTTGTTCAGCTTTTGACACAGAGTATAAATCTGTAACAGGCATGCAGCTATAAACCCCAAAGTCCGTATGGTCAAAATGTTAGTGCAGAAAGAAAAAGAACTGAAATCTCTTATGGATTCCAGTTCCTCATTTTGGCCATTTAAATTCATGCTTACTTCCATTCAAACTTTCTCTGTTTTTCGCCTTTTTAACTGACTAAGAGTTTACATCAACCAAATCCAGCTCTGGCAAAGCTGCAGAGCTGTATAGCTGCTCACAAGTTCATCAGTGCTAGTTCTCCTTTGAGTAGGGGGTGGCAATAGAGATGGTGTCTCCTTGCAATAAAAACTAACACATAATGAAAACGCAGTAATTTTTTTCCAAATGTATGCTAAGACTGTATTACAGATCAAAAGAAAAATCAAAAAGTCCCTCCTCAAACAGCAATTTAGGGGACAGTAAACAGCCTAATGGTCCAGAGGCTGAATCAAAGCAGAATAACAAACGCTAGAAGTAATTGTCATCTATTCTGCAGAAGAGGTCAGAAAGTTCAGAAAGTTTTCTGCAGAAAGTTCCCACACCATCTAGTGTCACCACCTGAAATCAGAGTGCCTCATTCTCAGTAAATACATTAATTCCTCAAAAAGTTCTTGACAATCTTGAAAGTTTTAACCCACAATGGATCAATTTGACCTCCTGGGCTTGTGAAAGTCACAAGCAACTGGTGCCACTCAAGACTGGAAAAGCTAATGCCTAAATTAGGGAAGAAATTTTCCTTTCCCCTCCCTTCTTCAGCTCCTAATAAACTGGACAAAGCAATCTGGGTACAGTGGTTTCTTTACGGTCATTCAATGGCAAACCGCAAATTCCCAAGTGCACTTAGAAGGAAACCAGCCAAAAGCAAAATTCAACATCCTTTAATAAAAAGTAACATCTTAACTCTGGCACAATCTGGATCTTGGCTAGAACATGTACGGGACATGGGGGCATCTATCAGTAGCTCTCAAGAGCTAGTAGAGATTTATCCTACCTCGGTTGTCTTCACAGCCGTCAGCTGTTCTGAACAGTTCTGAATACCATACATAATTAAACCCTTGAGAGACTAAGACAATTCAATTGGCAAGGAATAAGGTCTTGGTAACATCGTCTACGTACAAGATCTGCTCTCCATTCCCGCCCACTGGCTTCCTGTAGAATAAAGCCTAAATTCTTATTTTCAAGAAACATAACGTCCTGGCTTCAAGATCCCTAAAAGACTGTTTAAGTTCTGCAAGACAACCACGACCAGCAACTTTGGTGTCTAAAATAAAAATAATTCATCTGTACAACTAAGATTTTCCTGGAGACCAGCTCTAGGCAGTGCAGAGAACTCTTACAGAAATCATAGACCATTATCATCATCTGCTTTAAAAAGAGAACATATTTATTCAAACTTAACCTCCCGTAACAAACCTATGGCACCTGCATTTATACAGGCATGTTTTGTAACTATGTACAACATAAAAGGCTTCCAAACAGAAACATTCCTTGAAATACACTTTTTAAGACTAAACATGCGACTAACGTTTGTCACAACCCATACCACACCACCGTAAATTATCCACCTGTCAAGTGAGGCTCGCGCACCGATAGGGTCCCCAGCATGAGCCTATACAGAGTAATATGCTACTACCATCTTCTGCTGCATCTGTAGCCATCAGTCTCGAGTAGGAGAATTTTAACACAGAACATGAATTTTGACAACTGGGAAGCCAGAGCTGAACTAAAATACCTACACCAGTGGCACTGACAACAAGAAAACACAGAACTGCAGAGAAACAGCAACAGAAGATCCATTACCAATGCATCTCTTCTTTCTCCTCCTGGTCATGTTCAGAGCTTTCTCCCCACCTCACAGAGCTCTCTCTTAAATTATTTCTTCCCATTAATGTGTCTCATTATTCCTCCAGTGCAAGAGTGCTTACAACTCTTACTATAGTTACAGTTGTTAGATGGCTGATGGTTATCCCTTTTTTAAGGGTAGCGTATGCACAGATCTATCTCCTTAAGAACAAACAGGCAATCTCCAGATTGGCACAGAATTATACCCACAACTTCCCACACATAAATACTCAACTGGATAAAGTGAGAGTGACTAAAAAACCCAGCTGTTCAAGGTATTTATAACAGAGGACTCACTTACTAGCTGAACACTTAATTTAAAAATGGTTTCCAAACCTACATTTTGGTAGTGACTCCCATGTTCATTAAACACACTCATTTCACAGAAGTGATCAGTTTTAGCAAGCTGCAATAAAAAAAGAAAAATCATAATGAATTTAGAAGCACTATGAAACAAAGCATTACCAGGAATCGTTCCTCTTTTTCAAGCCAGCGCTGATCTTCTTCCATCTCCTGTTGTTGTCGTATCAATCTCTCCTCCATAAGATGTGTGGGTAGAACCTGGCCCATTCCTCGTATGTCCAAAGTGCCTGAATCCTACAAAACAGAGTAAGTTTATTCAATCTCACAACTTAAAATTTGTATAAACAGCTACAAAAACTTAGAGATTATAAAAGAATAGATTTTTAAAAGCCCAAATGAGCAACAGCAGTCAAGCAGAGTTTCTTCAACTCCTGAAGCAGACCATCAGAAGAAACTCCTTCCAACTAGAAACATTTTATTTGCCTTGCTCATAATCACTGGAACCAAAAAGATTTGAAAAATTCTGTTCTGTTTTTCAGCAACGTTGTCACTTCATATATTGCACTTCATTTAAGTTGGACAACAAAAACAGATTTATCAATTTCATCTTCTCGGTCTTGAGCAATAATGTAACTATCCAGCTGTTAAAAGCTGCAAGATTTTTTACTCCAAACAAATACGCTTTTCAGTTTTAGCTGACACTTGCAAAGCATGTCACAAAAACATTTTTAATGATTTTTGAATAAGTTTTTATGCATGTCTTAAGCTTACAATACTGAATATACCATATCCCAATGCTGTCTGGAAATCATTAGCAAATAGTGTATAAATTAGTATTTATTTTTTATTTTACCAAACTCCAAGGGGAGTTTGGTAAAAAACTTCACTGAGATTGTTTTTAGGTAACCAACTTCCCAAGCTTTTGTGAAAACTTGGCTATAATTTATTATTATGAACACTTAAAAAGCATTCATATGCTTCCACCAACACTTTATTCAAGTACGACATAGTTAGACTACATTGTTTCTACAGTCAATAATCTACAGGGATGTCGAACTACTTGGGACTACAACCCTCAACTATATACAGTGTGAACAACAACAGCGTGACAGCAAGTCATAATGGCAGAATGTATGGCCAAATCAACCAAGAGTAAGCAGAGGCAAATTGAAGACTTAGACATCTATCTGCTTGCCTGTATTTAATGGGTAAGCCTCAGTTATCACTTAAATATTTATCAGAGGCACAGGGAATAGAGCACTGGTTAGAAAGGAAACGGATTTAACACAGAAGCTGTACAAAGTGAATCTTTGTGGGAGGATAAAATGGAATGAAAGAAGTATAAAATACTGAAGGAGAACAGAAAAAAAATGACGGAAGGTTAGAGGAGGAATTAATTTGATGTTCCTTGCAGCAGCTCTGTGCAATCATGACAGGCTGAAAAGCACCTAACAGGAATACAACTCAAGAACAGTTTTGCAGACCATTTCATTTTCTGTTCTGGATGAGCTACAGAGAAGCCTCAGGTACTTTAGCTATGCTGCGTATCTCCCACGAGAGGTACTTTCAAACGGTAATGATATTACATATTTCTACATGAATGTTCCCATCTCTATTAACAGCAATAAGTTTCAGTAAAGCCTTCTTTTAACAAACACAAAATATTTGCTATCACTCACTGAGTTAAGATAATAAGTAGTAATAACTTAATCAAGAATTTGTGTGAAGAGTACTTTATGCCCAACCTCACATAGGAGAATTTGTTTCAAAAAGAACAGAATTCAGTCATGACTCCCATCCCACTGCAGTAAAGCAACTTAAAAAATACCAGAGAAACACTTAGTTTTCCTACAATAATCTCCAGATGTACCTAAATAACAAAAAAGTGTATTTACTGTACAGAGCGCAACAACAGATGTGTCAGTTCATGATACCTCCATGTTTGGTTGCCACACTGATATTTCCTGAGGCCGATGGTTCCAAGAATCTGCTTGATCCAAGAGAGAAGCCTGCCCAGGATAAATGCTGCCTGCCATGGCTGGTATCCCATGAGAACCAGGGTAGCCAGACACCTTGGGGGGGGGGGGGGGGAGAAAAAAGAAAAAAAGAGTTGTATTAATAAGACCTATGCTTCCCCATAATTAATAGCTTCCGCTCCCTAAGGAAGCAAATATGAGCATGCAGAAATGACTCAATTCAGTCACTGAGAAGGAGGAGGAGGAGGGGAAGCAACATCAGAAGGAAGCCAAGCCAAACTATGACACAAAAACTCTTTTTTAAGTCTTTGAGGATGCCTGTCATAACATAACAATAACTACTTCAGGATAACTATAACTATATACAAATATATAGAAATATAACTATAGCTTTTGAGGACAACTATAACTATTTGAGGATGCTTATCGAAACAGCAGCATTAGGAAGTACGTTTTAACCTCTGCAGCCAAGAAGATCAGTCTTCTGATAAACAAAAATAAACTTATTGACACATTTGTAAGAGCTACACATGCAAGTGAATAGGAGCCTGCGCACATCACCCTACAGAGCCATGTAAAAAAGTACCCCCTAGTGTACGTTACAAGCTTAAGTCTTGAGTGACAGCATGTAATTAGTGTGCTTAGCTGTGCAGCCTGAGAACTTCTCCACAGGAAAATCAAAGTAGTTTTAATGAGTCTTAAGTACTCATTAAAATGAAAACCTCCCCCTCTCCATGGAAAAAAAAAAAATCTTAACCTAGACTGCTGTATATGGCTGTAGCTTTGAATACCCAAGAACACTTAAAGTACTTCCATGACAAACTTCTGTTTTAAATTTCTTCAGCAGTGTTAGGAAGAAAAGCAAAACCTGTGAGTATACAATGTGGTAGATCTAAAGGTAGCCATCAGCCAACAGAAAATAAAAATGTTTCAAGAATCATCAGGGAGCAAAGTATCAATAAGCCCAACGAAAGTCCACCAGTTAATGCCATTTATAAAGCAAGTAATTTTATAGCTTAGCACAAATGTTAACATGAACACCACATTCCTTCAATAAATACGAAAATGTCTGACGTGTTTCACTGTAGTTTTAGGAATCTGAGCACAGTATCAGATATGAAAATATTTGCCATCTGGAGTAAACCTACCAGGTTCAGTTCAGGGTTTGTTCTGATGTAAAACAAAAACAATTTAACAGAACTGAATGAAAATAAACCGTGTAAGAAGTGAAACAATCCCACCAGCTGCAATTGAGTTATAAACCCCACATTTGAAAAAATGCATGCACAGTGTTAAATGTAATACCTGGTAATGATTTGGCTGTACCATATGCTGTGGACTTGGATAAAAGCCTTCACTGGATCTCGGACTGGGGTAACCAGGCCTACTGGGCTGTAAATGCAAAGGAATTTTTAGAGTCTTTAGAAACACAAAACTATAACCAGAAAATTACTCTTTGGTGAGACAAACATTTACAGGCAGTGCACCACAAATGCAAGCTCAAAAAAACCCCTGAAATAAATAGTCTAAAATGACTAACTTTTTAAAAAACAATTAAAATCAAGTTTTCCTCCGTTTTTGCTTGGAAATGGAAGCAGCTGAATTGTTTGCTAGGTATGTCAATAAATAATGCTTTCTCTGTGAATTCTTTGTGCATATTTAATTGCTTGCACTAAATGACCTGCTCTGTGCTGTTTAACCCTAGAGAAGACATCAGCTAAGAACATAATTCTTAAATCAAGTTTCCAGGTGCAAATACAGCATTGTTTCTAAGTTCACAATGTGCAGTACATAAAGTTTTGCTATTAATTCATTGCTTTTGTGACCGTTCCCAAAAGTAAATTCTTTTGCTTCAGTCGGAACACAAATCAAATTGGTTTGTTTAGCATGAATATTTCTATGTGTTATTATGAGGACTAAAGTTAGTTCTGATAATTAACTTCTGTGTAACTAACTGCCTCAACATGGAAGGTGCTTTTGATCATATTCTGAACTCCATGGTTGCTTCATTATCCATGCTTTGTTCTGCAACCCATTCCCAGCCAAGAAAAAACAAGACAGAACTAGGTCCTATTAGAAAGGACAGCTAGAGAATAGCTATCAAGAGCCTCTGTTTGACTACCTTGCTTTACCCCTTCAGGAGAAGGGCAATACTTTACACATAAACAAACAAGATGTGTAATCACAGGAATACCAGAAATTCAGACAGCACTATTATAAAAAACTGCATGAAAAGGAGCCTGGTTTTCTGCACACATTGAACAGATCATCCTTTTGCCAGAATAGGTATAGAAATTTCACACTATTGAAATAAGTAATTTTGGAAAATGTTGCTCAGAACAACACACTTTTATCTTCCAAGCAGAAGTGTTATTTTTTTTATATTAACCTCCAAAAGTATATTTAGGTTTTTTTTTTTAATGAGGAGCAGTGCTGCTGGGTGTTTCAGGAGGAGAAAAATTAACCCAAGAGGGGACACCCCCCCCCCCCCCCCCCAAACCTCATCATTCTGCAAATGGGCTCCTCTAGTCCTTCTGGCAGTTAAAGGTGACCACCACATTACTTAAGAGATTGCAGAATTTTATCATCACTTTATGAAAAATGTAATTATAATTCTGTACTAGGATCTTTGTCTTACATTTCTAACTGAAATCACTGTGAGATACAAGTAATTTCATAGTACAAATTGTGATATCTGTGTATTATTTAAGAATGTGTAGAAATTTAAGGCTATAAATAAAATGGAGTTTAAGCCCTATCAAGACCTGAAACTTGCATAATGAGTTGTTGGAAGAAAAAAATCAGTTGTCATCATTACAGAATTAGATAACAAGAGATACTTAAAATCCCATATCTATGAAATTCAACTAGTTCAAATGTTATTAGTATATTTTACACAAAAAGACTGTATACAAAACCTAACCAACAACTGCATCACATATATAGTGAGGACGTATTGACCCCCTCAAAAAAGATATGCAGTGGTTGAATTAATTTCAATCTTAACACATCTTTTGTCAAGTGTTTCAGTTTATACATCACACCCAAGGCTCTAACGGTGATCATTTCTAATATGGTGTAGCTCATATAGTGCATTAGTAAAAGGTATTTATTCTATCTGGATTAGCCCCAAAGCTTCAAGACTAAACAAATTCTTCAAACAAGGCTGTAATAATTAAGTAGCATATTCCAATTTATGCAGTTTATCTGCTTCTGTTACTTGGAACATCGTCTGTTTATATATACACCAAATCCTGCTAGTTAATCTCGTACGACTAAACAGGTTGATGGATTGTTTGCTGTTTTTAACTCTGAAATAAAAGCAACAATTCCACTGCCCATATTTCTTGGTTGCCATAAAGCTATCAAAATGCAGAACCAAGCTCGGAAATCTATCAGGGAACAACCTGGCCATGGGGAATCTAAACAAAATAAAAGTAAGTTGCCTTCCTATGACTGTTGGGGGATGTGTGCAGCAGAAGGTGCCGCACGAGTACTACTGAAATCATTATCAGCACCAGAGCTTGCATAAAGAGCTACAGGAATTCATCACAAACTGATCAGGACGCAGATAATACTCCACATTACAGTGGTGACTGCACAAAATGAAATTCTTCAAAACACAGGCTCGATCCTTCAAAGTGCAAAATAACTCGGATAAGAAGCAGACAAGTTACTAAGAGAAGAGAGTGCTCAGCAACTGGTGAGGTTAGACTACCACAGCTGCAGAACACATCAGCGACATCCAAACAGGACAGACATGTAATGAAACAAAATCAAGTGTAAACTAAAACAGATAAGGTCCTTGGAAGCAAACCCCTAATTTTCTGTCCAGAATAAGGAAAATGCAATTAATTGATTTCTATCCTCTCACTGATGTGTTATAAATAAACTTCACAGTGGTCTGAAAGCTCACGTTTCATAGGAATGCTACAAGAAAGAAGAATAAAGAAAAGGCCAGGAAACAATTTTGTGGCAACTATGGTAGTCTTTTACAAGTTAAACAACAAGAAACAGAAAATCGTTAGTGCGATATTATAGCACAGATTAGTTCTAGTAACAGTTCAAGTAGAGCAGGGTCATTTCAGGCAAATATTGGCAGATGATGACAAAATTGGCCAGAACGGCCTTGTTTGAACGAACCCGTCAAAGGAGGCTTTGAAGAAATAAATGGAATAAAAATTGGTTTTTTGTTTGTTTTTTAAACATACATAATTTGCAGTCTTAACTACCTTGGGAGGAGCTTCATCTGATCCTCCTGAGTCCCAGGATACTGTGACTTGTCGCCTGGATTCCATTCTCATTCGTTCTTCTTGCTGCAGCTTCTCTTCCTCCAGTATTGTACTAAGAAAAACAGTATTTAAGTAAAACTCCAGTTCAATGTCTAACAAACATCTCCCCAGAGCTCCCACATTTTTCAGACTAATGAATACTATTTGACAAAGTGATTGAGAACTGAAACATAAACTTCTTTTACTTACATTGGTTAGGTTTCTGAAAATCAGTATCAGGAAGAAATACTTCTGTAGGATTACCAGCATGCTTTTAACAACAGAAGCAGCATCAAGTTTTTAGAAGGCTGTGGTTGATCTTGTACAAAATTTTTTTTGCATGTCAACAGTTCTTTTGATGTGTAATTACACAGAAGAATCATCAAAGACAATAAATCGAGCACTTACTTGCATGAAAACTTATTTTTCACAAGAAAATATTCTACTGAACTGCTGCAAACGTTCAAAACAAACTGAAAATGTTCTTTACTGAAACTCAACAGAGCTTCAGATTACTGGGATTTTTTTTCTTTTTTAAACAAAGCAGTCAAAAAACATTTTAAATACTATGTCTTCAACTCTTACATTTTAGCCTAACCAGGAACACATTCAGCAAACAAATTTAGCAAAACAGCAATATCTGACAGTATTCACTCAGCTTCTAAACATTCAGGTCAAAAGGCTACATTTTCAACAAAGTAAAAGACAGCAGTAAAACTAGTTTGCTACTTACCACTGTTCTGACTATTAAAAAGACTGTTTGAAGTTCAACATGATACTGCTGCCCCCACAGCAGCCTCCTCCCAGTTCTGCTATGTGGATTATTAATGTTGGATATTTGCCATTTGAAAAATACTCAGAATGACGCTTTGAAATAGGGAGCTGCAAATTCGTTGGAGCTGCACGCTACATGGATATTCTGGAGATGTGAGCAGGGCAGATCATTTACCTATCGATATCCCCAGTGTAAAGATAATCCTGTAAAGGAGTTATTCCAGCTTCTTTATCACTCAAGAGTTTTGAGAAACAAAGCTAGGTTCTGAGTTTATCATCCCCTGTTCAGTCTACTAAATAACCACCCAGAATTACTCATGCAGGGGATGAGATCAACTACAGCAATCTATTCTAATCTTGGAACTTTAATGCTTATTTCAAGAATAAATTCCTGCTTGGTTGGAGATGAGAAGTTTGCTTTTCCTTACTCAGCCAAAAAAAAAATCTATGCCACTTCTAAAAAGCAGACAAGTCATCTCGTCTCACTGCAGCTAAACCAAGTTTATAAGTATTGCTGCAATTTCAATCCATCATTGCTGAAGTAACACAAGAATGTGGAACAAAAACAAAATCAGACAAGTTATTTGCAAAAGTCATCCTGATATAACTACCACAGAAACACAGCTACAGCCCAACGGAGGGAACTAAAAAGAGAAAATCGTTCTATTTTACCTCCCTCTTCCTTTAGATTAATAATAGAAAATTAAATATTTCCCACTTGAACCCATGAAGAACTAGCAAAATACCACCGCTTTAAAGCTAGGTCACACTTCAGATATTCAGCATGCATTTTTATGTAGCACGAGAACATGTAGCATAGTTCCATAGCCATGAACCATGATTATGATCTTTCAAGAAATACCTCAAGATTTAAAAAAACCAGAACGAAACAATACAAAAAAATCCACCCAGACATTGCATGAATAAAATACAGATTTTTAACAAAGCTGTTGATACAGCAATTGCTCTAATCTGAGCAAAAGAATGGAACTAAAAGCAGCTGACTAAATTTAGAGATGGCTTATGGACAATCTGGGGCCATGGGTATAATTTGTCACAGCACAGTTCTGGTTTTCCTTAAAAAGGAATGAAACACCAATACCTATCTGCCTTGCTATCAAAGCCATTTTATCTGTGGTGTCACAGTATTCAGTACAATACCATTAACTTCAATCATATCACTGAAAATGACAAATTTATATTGAAATGACTTGTTTTTCATAACATAGGCTCAGCTTTTTGCCTTACAACTCTATTTCATCCCACCCTGCTCTTTCATCGCCTGTGTCATCAGGAGGTCCTTTCCCCAGCAACCCAGTAAGTAGTCTGGTCAAAGGCTGATCAGCTGAAGCAGAATTTGTACTTGGATGCCCTTGAGTACTGCTAACAAGAATATAAAACAGAAATGCCTCAGAGAAGCATCACTCGAAAAAACACAAAGAATATAAATGACTCACAGAAACGTCTTTGTTTTTACAAAGGGAAGACCAATCCATAGACAGAGTAAAAGCATGCCAAGAGATATTTTTGACCTTTTCTCAGTGCAGCTGCTTAAGTACTCTGAACAGTTTATTAGAATTTGCAGAAGGTCAGGAAAGTCAGATCTAGGCATATTTTCCCAAACTGCACATATTTTTAGCAGCAAAGCGGAGCAAGCAGAGAAGTACTGCTATTCATATGATTTCCCTAGCAAATTTTGAGGTAGTACAGACAAACTTAACTCATCTTCTTGGCTAGGTTAAGTCTGATGAAAAATCTCAACTATTAAATGTTCACATAATTGATAAACTTATTTCATGTATGAAGAATCTTTTTACTGAAATTGGCCTGTGACATTGAAAAGGAAACATTTACCGGGAGCTTCAGTGTATCTGAAATACTAAAATGTATCCTTGTATTTCAAAAGGCACAGCAATACCAGCGTCTGCTGCTATGGTGGTGCAGGAACCAACAGTAAGTGCTGACCCTGAACAAGCCGCTTCTTTTTTTCTCTCTCTGTGGTCTCCAGCCATCAAAAATGCAATGCTGGATGCAGACGAACGATTTTCTCATACTGTCCTAATTTAAAAGCACTTTCATACGGAGATTGTTCCTAATGGTCACTGTCAAAAACCAAAAGGCTAACAAGCATTTTGCAACCTCCATCATGTATTTCAGATATGTGCTAAAATCTTTTTTTGGCAGGATGCCATGAAAGAAGAGGACAGACTACCCTCACTCTTAGCAGTTTTGTTTCTTTTATTTACAAGCAACATCTCAAGACCTACATCAAATGCAGTCACAAAAAGGCTCAAGTCCAGTTCTCATCAGTTAATTATCTTACTGTTGTCATAAAAACAGACTTTAAAAGCATGAATAAGTCTTTTTTCTTTCTTTCTTTTTTTTTTTTTTGCATTCTTTTTAGAGCTGTATTTAATATGTGACCTGCAGCACTGGGATGCTAGTGGAATCATCCACTCTGTTAAAACATGTGCTTCTTCATCAGTGACCAACAGAGGACCGGACTCACACTCTTACCACAGCAGTGATACAGCTGCTCTTTATTTTGCTATTTTTAGTAGACTGAAAGCATTAGCAATAGGTACTTTATATAAAATTCATTCAATGACGCAGTGAAAATGTCATGCAATTACATTAATTTGAAAGCTCAAAATTAAAATCCAACTTAACCTCCAATGCAAAAAAACCCAGTTTAGAAGAATTACCAAACAAAGGGACACTCAGGGCACCACAACTCGCAAGCACAAGCCTGGGAGCTGACTTATAAGAAAGCCTGTGAGTATACTGGTGCTACCTTAGCAATACACACCTGCAGCATATTGAACATAGCAAAGTATAAATTAAATTTAATAATACACGCATGTATGAGATAGTCTATGATTTAGTGAGTGTACGAATATAGTATACTAAGTATATGGTTCTGGTAAGTGGCTAGGAGTCATTCTGAGGAGAAACGCTGTAAAAGTGATATTGTATGATCTGGATACATTAAACACTTTGCAAAAGGCCTCTTATATTATTTACCATTTAGTGCAAGACTAAAAATCTCTTCCACACAAAATCAGCAAGGCAACACATGTTTCCTGATTAAAATACCACAGATTCTAATTCTGGCCCAGTCAGTGACAGAATCACAGGAGTAGCAGGGTAGTAGCACCTCACTTTCCTGACTTTTTATTCTCACTTTTACCACCCCCCAAAATTGAAAGAGACCTAGGATGCGAGGAGGAATTAAATTTGGAAATCCACAATCCACCCATTTGTTTCTGTGTTTGCTGTGAAGACTAACTCATCCCTATCCACTTTGGACAGGCCTTATTACTATCATAATAACACTATATAAATTCTACATTCGCATCTTCACATTGCACAAGCAGCTGCAAATAAAGTTTGTGCAAAGCAGATGTTACTATGAAATAGGAAAAGCATCAAATAACAAACCGAGAACCCACGAAGCGCTATTTCAGATGCAGAAAAGAAGTTTTTTCCCAAAGCCATGGACTTTTTCTCATTAAAACAGAGAGGAGCGTTGCAGTGCTGTATCACTGGCTTCAAGCAAACTAGTCTGCTCTCAGCTTGAAAAGACTACCCTGGACAGGATCCAGAACGAGCAGCAGCAACACCACACAGAAAAGGCCACCAGGGAAATGGCTTGTTTTTGCAAGTTCATGGGAATTTGAGTTTTGAAACACAATCTTTTCTAGCTGCCCGAGATTGCCTCATCGTAAGGGAATTGGCAGCCTCTCCAACGAGAGGCTGACTCTGTCTGTGAGCAGCACAAAGAAGCCCTAAGGACGACCGTGCTGCCTAACTTCCAGGAGATAAAGGTCACCAGTTTGGAGCACAAGAAAACTCTCTGCTTTGGTGAGAAGAGAGTAAAAACTGGATTTTAGGGTCGCTGTGGCCCCACGAGAGAGCTTGTTCTCTAAACAGTGCTTCAAATCTCCTAGCATGACTAGAGGAGCAAAAAAACCACTCCCCTTCGTCCATTTTTTATCTAGAACCAGAGAATCATTTAGGTTGGAAGGGACTCCTGGAGGTCTTGAGTCCAATCTCCTGGTAAAGGTGGGCTCCGCGCATGGCGAGGTCAGGTTGCTCGGAGCCTTTTCCAGTCGAGGTTTGAAAGTCTCCCAGCATGGAAATTCCAGAGTCATTCTGGGTGACCTGTTTCAGAGCTTACCCATGCACACTGGGAAACATTTTAACTAATGAGAATTTGCCTGGCTGCATGTCATGAGTGTTGGTTCTCGCCCTTTGGCTGTGCACTTCTGAGGAGAGCCAGGCTCTTGGGCACTGGTCTATCCCGTTTATCTGGTGATACCAGATAAATACCATGTCTTTCACTTTTTTCCCCTCTCCCGCTCCAGACTCATGCTGTTATTAGTGTTGCTGCCATTCATTCTCTCTCTGAGTACAGCCTACATTTATTTCACCCCCCAAACACAATTACTTTTACTCTGGATTTACTCATCATCTTCACTTACTGGTGAGATACTCTCCCTGTCTGGGTTTACACACCATAGCCATCTTCCTAGTCACATTTTTCTAGGGGTTCATTCTCCTCTGTGCCAGTCAGCTGTAAGTTATCAGTACAATCTGACCGCAAATTAAGAAGAATCCTATTCTTCCAGAGAAAAAAAAAAAGAAAAAGCAAGTGAATTGCCAATTTCTACCTATTACCCAAATCACACAAATGTGTCATATCTTTTCCTTGCAATCCCTACCAAGCTATACCATTCGTTCCTTTGCAGTTAACTCCACAAAGTCAATAGCATAAGTTCTTTGTGTGAGAAGGGCTACATTTTCCTCTAGCTATGTAAATTATTAGTCTACATAAGAGCTCCCAGAGTAACAGATGGCAGAACCCTACGACATTTTAAGAAATAGGAAAAAACTTAAAGGTAGCTAAGTTATCCATACAGCAACTCTGAAACAGCATCATAATTATATTAAAATTGTCCCTTTTTTTAACCACCTATGAACTATCTTGTACCATGAACATCCAGTTACAGCACAAAATGGTATCATAAAAACAAAACATGCTACAAAGCACAACTTTGAAACAAGATAAAACTGAAGAATTTGGCAATGAATTATAACAAATCCACGAGTGGGTTTGTACAATACCTACGTATTGTTTGAAGCTTATATTGACTCAGGCAAAATAAATACTGAGCACTCAAAAATCCCAAAGGTGGTCACAAATATCAAATTTGTCTACACAACATCTCAGTGATGTTTCAAAGTTTAAATATCACTCCCATTTTGTGGCTGGTGAAATGGAGATATGGACACTGGAATAAATTATTGCAGAATAAACTAGGGTGTGAATTTAGACTGGTCTCAAAAGTGTGTGCTCACATTTATTCCAAGATAAACATAAGGTAGTCTATATCTCGGTTTACAAAGGGCAAAGGAATTTCTAGTTAATGACTCTGCATTTATTGCAGGCTCTGCAATTGCGCAGACACAGCTGCCACAGAGCAACTAGCGTGCTGCATATGTTATGAAAATAACTTTCAACAGCACTCACCTGATGGTTCATTTATTTAAGAAAGGATACATTTCTACCCCAAAACTTTACACTGCATGTTTGACTAAGTAATCACTCTAAATTCTTTCTAGCCCCCTCCCCAAGGATTGTAACATACATAGCTAAACTTATAAACAAATTGCTAGTAAAATCTGAAGTTCTTCTTGGGAGAGAAAGGTGGTTCTAATTTCCAGTTATTTGAATTTATTGCCTAGTCTAATTTTCTCCAACAGATAAGGTCCAGATTCCCAAGAGAGTACCATCAGCCTGGCCTTCTGAAGATTAAACTTAATACCTTATGTCTTGCATTTTCCATGGAAAGAAAATACTGTAACAGAAGATACAGTGAAAATAAATATTTCTGAACAAGGAAACAACCTTTCAGAAGTATAACCCTACCTGAGTTGTGCTTTAAGTTCAGTAAACCTGGGTCGTCTACTAGGGTCGTATGCCCAGCACTTGGTCATAAGGCTGTAGAGGGTAGGAGGGCAGTTTGGAGGCATTGGGAGCCGCTCACCGTTCTCAATTCGCCCAATCACATCATTGTTCTTCACTCCCTGGAAGGGCTTTACCCCATGCATTAGGATCTCCCACATACACACACCTGAGAAACACACACACAAAAAATTTCCCCAGTGTCAGCAAATAACAAAACCTGTTAAAAAAGAAACAAACCCCAATTTTGTACAGCCAAACCATGCAATTTCTTCTGAAATGTATAGCTAGGGAATCAGTTTTTACTTACCGGCTGGCAGCAGAGAGGAGTGATGTGCAGTAGGATTACGCACATAGTATCAACCTGAACTATTTATGAGGAAGCATGACCCACAGCTGGCTCACAGCAGCCTGGCTTCACATTTAGCTACCTTTTACCTATTGTAAATCAGGATGGTTGCTCATATTCAAATCTACTTTTTTATGAGGTAGAATGAGCTGTGTTTGCTTTTCCCTTTGACTAATTCCAACTGGCTTGTTTCGACACGTAGAACGTATTTTCACTTTGAGGGTGTTTTAACACTGGCATTGATCCAAACTTTTTGTGCTGAAACTATGTAATGAAACAGTTTCTGTTGAAACTGTGTTAAAAGCACAAAGGGAAAAATGGTCTGTCAGTTTAGGATTGGCCAGAATATTCCACAGACTTCATTTTTCTAACTCTGACTGTGCTAGAGTTTTTTCAAACTATCATAAACCTGCTAAAATTCACATACCCTTCAATTAAAAACATTCCAATTTTATTTTGTAAATTTTATTTTGTCTGTCCTGCTCTTATTTGAAGTCCCATCTTTTTGTTCCTTTACACAGCCTATGCTCTGTCTGCTCAGACCAGCACTTTGGACCAGTTTGAGCACAGGTGATCAGATTCATATAAAAACTTGCAAATTTAGGAAAAAAAGATCAAGGCTTCAGGATATTCCCATTTACCATTACTTTTACTCAGCTACTGGTCATATTTTGTAAGCTAGCAGGCACTATGAAATACAAATTAAGTGGGAATTTAGCATTAAAGATCTGGAGACATGACATCATGTAGACTGATCTATGCATTAAGCAAGGAAGCAGGCATATGACCATAAAAGAAAAAGTGAAAATACAAAATAGAAACAGCAAATAACAATGGTGTAACAAAAAGAAATCAGAAGGAAAAAAAACAGTAAAAAAATCATCTCCATTATGACTATGACCTAATTTCCTTGTACCTTCATTTCTGCCAGCTTCTTATTTGGGGCGAAAAGGCACATGAAACTTTAGGCTTACTGAGTAGAAAAAGGAAAGAAAAATACAGATGGAAAATGTGCTGGAAAAAATCGTATTTTCAGAAAGTATGGTAAAAACAGTGCCAAATATCAGGAAATTATTCATTTACAGTAGTAAAAATGAAACACTGAACTTCTCCAACACTTAAGAAACCTCACCATTTGGTATTCACTTACCAAACATCCACACATCGCTAGCTGAGGTAAACCGTCGGAAGTTGATTGACTCTGGAGCCATCCATTTGATAGGTAATTTTCCTTTGGAAGCTACAGGGAAGGCAAGACAAGGCAGGCTTTTATTCCTACTAGTGAGCTCAAACATAGATTTTGTTCTCAGTGAAATAATTCATAGGCAAAACCCGTCTCCAGTGCAGTACTTCAGCTATCAAATTCTGTACAAGAGATTTCTGCACTGTCTGACCAGTTCTGCCAGTAGTCCTCTATGTAGAGAGAAGAGCAGCACTTTGCCTAAATATTCAGGCTGATTGAGCTCCTTTAAGTTAATTATTATTTCAAGATGCAACTACTGCAGTTAAGAAGGTACTGGCACCAAATCCGAAACTGTCACAAAATCTCAGCAAGGGAGTAGGTGTTTTTAAATGATTCACAAAAAAAGGGTAGGTTGTTTGGCCTTACATAAAACAGAAAAAGAACCAACAAAAACAAAATAATCCCCCAAACCTCCCAATAAAGCCCCCAACAACAAACCCCAAAAGCACAAGAAGAAATGATCATGTCAAAAGTATTCCCCCTTTCCTCTCAGCAATTAAAACAATGATATGTAGCTCGCAGTGATACGAGACAAATGAAACGAGGAAACATAATGGAGTGTAAGGGGACAGATAAAGGACTTTTAAAAACATATGACTGAAACTAGAAATATATTGAAGATTAGATTTATGAATATATAGTTTCATAATACACACCAGATTTAAAATGCTACTGTTTGGTACCCTAGATGCAATCTCTAGTCTCCTGCTGTATTTCCCATCTGTCAGGCACTGCAGGAAATCTCACAGCTGCTGGAGTGACTTAAGATCAGTATTCCATCCAAAATGGGGGAAAAAGTAGGCTTCAAAGACTTTTTTGTACTGAACCTCCCTAGTCCAGTGGCATCTGAAATATGTAGCATACAATGGCAGCACAAACTCAAAATTTATCTGTAGGTAACCTTGAACTCACTGTAGGCTACCAATATTATGCCATGAATATGAGTATTATCCCAAACAAGCCTCAAATGCAGATAATCTTCTAAAAATCATGAAGAAAGCACCTTAAGCTTGTCCTAAAAAGTGGAATTTTACCTACACATGAATTTTCTACTTTTTGCAATTTAAATCAGACCTTGTGATTATCCTTCTTAAATTCCTACATGTAGGAATTTACTGCCACCTATTAAATTGTTGAATAGCTTGCCTTTTTATACAAATACAACCAAGAAAATCTGGTTAATTCCTTTTGACAACAAACTCAGTATTGTGAGAAGCAACTGTGTTCTAACTGGCCTGCAAGAAGGATCCAGAGTGTCAACTTACCTTTATAGTAAGTACTGTCTTCCATGTATCGGGATAAACCAAAGTCACCTAATTTCACACAGTCAGTGGCAGATACGAGCACATTTCTAGCAGCTATATCCCTGCCAAACAGAGGAGACATTATTTCTAGTCATTTAACAACTTAAAGTGGTGAAATATAATTTGAAATAAATTATTAAAACCCAGAAGTATCAAACGCCTTTGAGAGGACTGAATTATTTTTCTAGTCATGGTTTGGGTGTGCATGTACAGAAAAAACGACTACGTATTTGTCTACGGATACTGAGAAGCTTGCAGAAATGCTGCATTACATTTGATCCTTATGAGTAATAGCTACTGTCCGAAAGTATAACCATCAATGTCAACAGCAAAGGAAAAGGTTTTATTCTTCATCCATTTAAATATCACAGGCTAACAATTTTTGGCAATTAGAATTTATGGAAAGAAGAAAATCTGCCTCCTGACCCTGCAAAGGTAAGGAAATGGTTTAAGATCTCAGTCCTGTGAGAGGCTTCCTAAAAAGGAGCTCAGTTTTTAGTGATGCCACAGGGATTATGAAAAGACTTGGGCATTTTTCTCTTGCAGTTTCCCAGGTGAGACAACCTGCCTTATGTGTCTGTTGATTCTGGATTTCAGCAGACTTGGCTAAGTACTGACAGGTTTAGCTTTGAGCAGTGAAGTAAGTTCAGCAAACTAAGCAGTGCTACTTTTACGCATTTCAGTACAGTATAAATAAGTTGTATTTTGAAATTTTATTGCCAGAGTTAAAATAAACAGCTACTTGGCTAAAATTCAAGTACCTGTAACAATCGTAAGGCTCTGTTATTTACAATGTTTTTATATACATATGTATGTATACCTACCTAATACTTACATATACATGTATTTCTATGTACAATATATACAACGCATATATAGAATTTGAATGTAAGTATTTAAACACAAATAAAACACTCAAGTTCAAAATGAAATAGCACATGATAATTGGAATGCTGTGAACTTTTAATTGCATACAGTAAGAGGCTAAAGCCAGTCTCTTCTCTTTAGAAAGCTCATGTTCAAATTCAAGGGAATAAAATGCAAAACACACCTAGAAAGAAATTTAGGTTCACTTTCTGGTTAAGCAAGTACTTGTATTTTACAAATATTTTGTTTTCCCTGTTCTTTACTTAAGAAGCTGGCTGCCCCTTGTTTTGCTTTTCTGTATTTGGAAGATTACTGCTTTAAAAAATACTGCAACCACAAAGCAACAACCCATCTGAAATCTATTCTGATTAAAATCCGGCAATTTAATCTGATTAAATTCCGAGTCAATCTCGGAATGAGCCAGCAGGTGTCACTCTTGAAAAGGGTGTAATTTTGGTGGCAGCGTCTGAAAAAAATGACATACTAATATGGAGACTGACATAAAACAGGTAAGTGGATTTTAGGAGTTTCAAAGTATTGCTGCAACACATTCATCGTAAGTCAAGAAAAAGAAACACAAAAAGAAAGGCTTCAAAGAATCCAGACTTTCTGTCTTCCCTTGAGCAAGTGTATCTAATAGCCAGAATACTGCCACTCAAAAATCTGGTAATCTAGGACACCTCGTATTCCTTAAAATTTCAAGTAGTTACATATAAAAGTAGACACATACACATATATATGTATAAAATCTTACCTATGTACAAATCTTTTGCTCTCTAAGTAGGCAAGTGCTGTGCTAAGCTGGTAAGCGTAGAGTATCAGAGAGGCCAGATCCAAGCTGTATTTTCTTACTTGCAAAAACGATCTCAACTTTTTGCACAAAGAAGGAGAAAAGAAGAAAGAAGTTAGGACAAAAAAATAACTAATTTGAACACGGCTTATCTCAAATTGTGAAGTTTACATGAGAATCAATGGGCATCCTTTCTCTTAAGACTGGATGAGAAAGGAAAATCACTTGCCATGAAGAAATTTGACTCTGGGTTAATTTCAAGCAGTTTTTTCTACATGAAAACTGTTAGCCAAACAAAAAATAAATTTTGTGCATTCCTTTCAGGTTCCTTTTGAAGACTGAGAGCATACGCTGCAGCTGTTCCAGAGTAAAGCACTCCTGGACTTTTTATGCATTCTCCCCTTGAGAAGTGCACACATTTTTGGCCTAAATAATTTCAGAACAAAACAGTACATGGCAATCCAAACACTGATTAGATCAGTATTGTTTTGGAAGCATTAATTTTAATCTACATTTGCTAAAACAACTGGATTTAACTCAGAGTAGCAAATATCAATGCACAATTTTTATAAGCTATATTCCTAGTATAAGGCAGTTAGGACCTAATGGAATGTGGCACTAGAGTCTCCTTATAAATTAAAACAAGGCTTTGAAAAGTGATTTGGGCACTGGAAAGGAAATCTGTCATTTTTTGACAGAAAGTTACCTCTCCACTACAGCTTTTTCTGCCTTTTTTTTTTCTTGGACAACATATTGCAGTTTGATAATTACAATGACTATCTTACAATGCAGTATGAAATATCACTTCAGCTCACATTTTCAGAAACGTGAAGCTCAAAGAAAACACATCTATTATAAAAACTGAGATCTAGTTTTGTTTAAACTATTCATCCAAAAGACGTAATAATGAGGAAAGTCTACCTAGGGTCTCTGCTGCAGAGACTGTACAGAAAAAAACCCTAAGAAATTCAGTGTTCCAAGGGAAAACGCAGTATTACTCAGGAAGAATAAAAGATGTACCACGTAATTTCACTTCTAGAAGATACGTTTGCAAATGCTGTTTAAATGATATTGCATTATCATCATCTTGACACAGGTCATGCTCTCACTCTGGAACAGCAATTGAAGTTCTCTGAAAACTGTGACTAATCACTTTGGTATGAGCTGATGCAGTTCCCTCAGTGGAGGAGTTAGGTCAAATTCTGCCACTCCTGTTTCTGAGTCCATAACTCTACAAACAAGTATGATATCATGTTTGAGGAGAGTGCCTTTGCATTAGTACCGAGAAGTGATTTTTTCAGTCTTTTGTAAAGGTATCTGTGAGCTAAAAGAGAGAAAACCATTTTCTCTCTTTTAAAAAGTTGCATGAGGATTTTTCATACCTCTCCAAGTGTACAGAGCTCCATGATTATCCAAACAGGGTTTTCTGTAATAACTCCAATGAGCTTCACAATGTGAGGATGATCAAACTGACGCATTGTTACTAAAAGGAAAAGAAACAAGTTGGTGTGTTACATAAAACCTTTTTTTTTTAAATCAAAATAAAAAAGTCAGTTAAGAAGCATTTAGTCTATGACCAGAAAATATAATCACAATTCTGCAGGACTTGAAACAACTGCTTGCAAGCAATGGCTGGTCATTTAATTTGCTGCGGGCAGTATGAAACACTGCTTGCTTTAGTGGTACTATTCTCCATTCACAAAAAGTAAACTGCTGTGGAAGGTGCAAGTCAAGTCAGGCTCCCTGGCTCTTCTGCCCTGGTTGAGCATAACAGAAGCTAAGCTAATGACCTATTAATCCAGTGCATGACCAATTAACCTGTGCCTTTCTACTGGAAGAGGAGGAAGGAAAAAACAGCACGTATAATTCAATGTCTGGGGAAAAAAAAATGTGTGTCAGTTTATGACATAGGCAAAAATCTCATTTAATGATTACGTTCACATCTCATTTTATTTTCCATGGACTTAATTAACTTTTGAGTCTCAGCAGTGCATTCACAATATATTTTATGCAGTAAGACATACAAATCATAGAATCATAGAATGGTTTGGGTTGGAAGGGACCTTAAAGATCATCTGGTTCCAACCCCCCTGCCATGGGTAGGGACACCTTCCACTAAATCAGGTTGCTCAAAGCCCCATCCAACCTGGCCTTGAACACTTCCAGGGAGGGGGCATCCACAACTTCTCTGGGCAACTTCTTCCACTGTCTCACCACCCTCACAGTAAAGAATTGCTTCCTAATATCTAATCTAAATCTACCCTTTTTCAGTTTAAAACCGCTACCCCTCGTCCTATCACTGCACTGCCTGATAAAGAGTCCCTCCCCATCTTTCCTGTAGGCCCCCTTTAAGTACTGGAAGGCTGCTATAAGGTCTCTCTGGAGCCTTCTCTTCTCTAGGCTAAACAACCCCAACTTTCTCAGTCTGTCCTCATGGGGGAGGTGCTCCAGCCCCCAATCATCTTCGTGGCCCTTCTCTCCTGCTTGAGCAGGTCCATGTCTTTCTTTTGCTGGGGGCCCCAGAGCTGAATACAGTAGTCCAGGTGGGGTCTCACAAGAGCCAAGGAGAGAGGGAGAATCACCTCAGGTGATTGTCAGTCTCTTTTCCCAGGTAACAAGCGACAGGATGAGAGGAAACGGCCTCAAGTTGCACCAGGGGAGGTTTAGATTGGATATCAGGAAAAATTTCTTTACTGAAAGAATGGTCAAGCCTTGAAACAGGCTGCCCAGGGAACTGGTTGAGTCATCATCCCTGGAGGTATTTAAAAGATGTGTAGACGTGGCGCTTAGGTACATGGTTTAGTGGTGGACTTGGCAGTGTTATGTTTACAGTTGGACTTGATGATCTTAAGGGTCTTTTCCAACCTGAATGATTCTATGATTCTATAGTTCCAATACAGACCCCTGAGGGACACCACTCTGTTACTGCTCTCCACCTGGACATTGAGCCGTTGACCGCAATTCTTTGAGTGCTACCATCCAGCCAATTCCTTATCCACCAAGTGGTCCACCCTTCAAATCCATGTCTATTTTAGAGACAAAGACGTTGTGCAGGACAGTATCAAATGCTATGGCAAGTCTAGGTAGATGGCATCAGTCGCTCTTTCTTTATCGACCAATGCTGTAATCCCATTGTAGAAGGCCACCAAATTTATCAGGCACGATTTGCCCACAGTGAAGCCATGTTGGCTGTTACCAATCACCTCTGTTTTCCACGACTTAGCACAGCTCCTGCTCCATGATCTTGCCAGGCACAGAGGTGAGACTGACTGGCCTGTAGTTCCCCAGGTCTTCCTTTTTTCTCTTTTTTAAAGATGGGGATTATGTTTCCCCTTTTCCAGTCACTGGGAACTTTACCAGTCTGCCATTACATTTCAAATATAGTGGCTTAGCAACTTCATCTGCCAGTTCCTTCAGGACCCTCAGATGTATCTCATCAGGTCCCATGGACTTGTGCACTCGAACCTGATCTTCTCCTACGGTGGGCAATACTTAATTCTCCCAATCCCTGCCTTTGGATTCTGTGAATTGGGCAGTGTGGCTAGAGCACTTTCTGCTGAAGACTGAGGCAAAAAAGTTGTTGAGTACCTCAGCCTTCTCCGTGTTAGTTGTAGCCAGGTCTCCCATTTTGGTTATCAGGGAGTACAGTTTCTTTCATCTTCCTTTTTTGTCCTACGTACCCGAAGAAATCCTTCTTGTTATTTTTCACGTCCCCAGTCAAGTTCAGCTCCAGCTGTGCTTTGGCTTTCCTGATCCTCATCCTGCACTCTCAGGCCATGCCATATCCCTATAATCTCCCCGCCTTCACTGCCTATGCATTTTGGTTTTGTGTTTTAGTTTGGCTAAGAGGTCTTGACTTAGCCAAGCTGGCCTCCTGCCTCCCCTGCCTGACTTCTTGCACATTGGGATTGAGAGTTCTTGCGCCCTAAGAAAAATGTCTTTAAATATCTCTCAGCTCTCGTTCATTCCTTCGCCTCTGAGGGCAGTTTCCCAAGGGATGGCATGCAGTAGTGCCCTAAACAGCCAAAAGTTTGCCCTTCTGAGGTTTAGTGTCCTGACTCCACTTTTTACCCATTCTCAAGATTGAGAATTCCACCAGGGCATGATCACTGCAGCCGAAGCTATCTCCAATCTTGACCTCTCCACTAAGTTCTTCTGCATTAGTGACCAATAGGTCCAGCAGTGCCTCTCCTCTGGTCGGACTCTCCATCATCTGTACCAGGAAGTTGTCCTCAACGCACTCCAGTAGTTTCCTGGGCTGCTTGCAGTTCACTGTGCCTCTTTTCCAGCAGATGTCTGGGTGGTTGAAGTCCCCTATCAGGAACAGGACCTGCGAGTCATCAACCTCCTCTTCTTGATTGAATGACCTGTAGTAGACACCAACCACAAAGTTTCCTTTGTTGGCTTGGTCTCCAATTTTCAGCCATAAGTGCTCCACCTGTGCATTTTCTGTTCTTCAAAGATAGCTCTGTGCAATCAATCCCGTTTTTGGCATAGAGTGCAACTCCCTCACCTCTCCCTCCTTGCCTGTCCCTTCTGAAGAGTTTATAGCTGTTAATCACAGCACTCCAATCGTGCAATTCATCCCACCAAGTTTCTGTGATAGCAATCAGGTCGTAGTTTTCCATCTGGGCAGCGGCTACCAGCTCCTCCTGTTTGTTTCCCACGCTGTATGCATTGGTATAGAGGCACTTCAGCTGGGCCACATCTCCTTTTTAGAGGAGCTTGCCCTAATTCCCTTGAGGCAATTCACAGGTGTGTCCCTGTTGCTTCCTAATGCTTCAGCAGCCCCGGGTTCTTCTGGAGTGCTTAGAACACCATCCCCTTCTACCACTACATCTAGTTTGAAGCTCTGTTTATAAGTCCAGCCAGCTTAATGGTCAGGACACCCTTGCCCACTTGGTCACTTGAGCCCTGTCAGCTGTCAACAGGCCTGGTTTCTCAAAGGTATGTCCAAGATCGTAGAAGCCAAGACCTTGAGCATGGCACCAACTATGCAGCCAGTCATTCACCTGTTCAATTTGTCTCCTTTTTCTCGAATCCCCTTCTCCAACTGGGAGGATAGGGAAGAACACCACCTATGCTCCCGATCCTTTTAATATCGTTCCGAGGGACATGAAGTCTCTTTTGATTATTTCTGAGTCGCCCCGTTGCAGCATCATTTGACCCTACTTGGAATAGTAGGATCAGGTGATAGTCCACAGGCTTTACCAGGCTCAGCAGCCTCTCTGTGACATCATGGATGCGATCTCCCAGCAGGCAGCAATCTTTTCTAGAGATAGTCTGGGCAACAAATGGGCACTTTGGTGCCTCTCAGCAAGGAGTCTCCAATTACTAACACCCTACATACTTTTCTGCTGGCACCGGTTCTAATGTGGGGGGGTGGCTGGACCAACTTTGCACAGTTGGCCTTCCCCGAGTCTTGCCCGCTACTCTCGCTTCATTCTCCAGCCCCAGGGCATCGTACCTACTACGCAGGGGCACTTCAGGGGGAAGGGGAATATTCCTCCTCCTGCCCCGAGCAGAGACGAGAGTCCAGTCTCCTTTGTCTCATGAGTTGGTTCAGTCTGTCACCTCAGGGTTGAAAACAAGCTTACCTTCCCTTTGCAAAGTCTGAAGGCAGGGCTGTCGCTCAGCTTGTGACAGTGCACAATACCACACATCGATCTCTTGCTCAGATGTCCGGATACTGCGCTACCTGTTAAGCTCCTCTTGTGACACGGCCACTTGCTTTAAGAGTTCCTCCAGCTGGGCTCGCCTGCACCCATGACATCCACCTCTGCCTTTGGACCCTAGGGGGACTTCCAGGTTCTGGAGTTTCATGCAACTTTGGGTCTGGGCAGCTCTTTCAGTTCTTGGGGGGGTCAGTCTGGGTAGGTGTCCACATAGGGAGCTTTTATCACTTCCACCTGGGTTTCCGTCACAGATTTGCAGTTGCAGCGGGTGGAAACCATTTTGTTTGCTACCTCTGTCTGGCTCCCAGAAGAAAACAGCCCATTTGCCGGAGGCCACCCTCCCTGTGCACCCTCCCATGCAAACTCCCGCACCACGCCCTGTTTGCCCACCCTGGTCACTAGTGCTCCCTGGGGGCTGCCTTTTACAGATGCGGGGGTTGGCCGAGGTTGCTCCTGGCCCTGCCCAAGCCTCGTCAGCCGCTCTCATGACAGCTGATAGCTCCTCGTGGCTCCCTCCATGACCCTGGGCATTGCCCTGTTTGAGGAAACGCCCCTGTACACCGTGACCCTCCGCCCCGCTGTGGAACGTGTCGGCACGAAGCTGCTCACCTCGGCAACTAAGGGCTAGTGGCGGTTACACCGCGTTTAAATCTCCTGCCGTTGCTCCTGGCCCCGCCCAGGTCTCCTCAGCCGTTGTGGCGCGAGCTGCGGGCTCCTGGCGGTCTCGGCTCCCCTGAGGTTTCCCCAGGTTCAGGAAACCCCTCTGTGCACCATGCTAGAGCGCTCCGCTGCCGACCGTGCCGGCACTGGAGCTGCTCGCCTCAGCGACCGACTCAATGCTTATTAATGTTTTGGCGAGGTGTATTGGGTAGGTTAAATGAAACTTCAGTCCTCTGATTAAGTTTTTCTAGTCCAACGTACGCATGACAAACATCCTTAATTTAATCTTGACAAATAGCCTTAATTTAATCTTGGAAGTAGTATCTCTTTTACATTTACAGTTTGTAGTGTCAACAGATATATATGGTAATTATCAAACTGGAACGTCTGCTTCAGTTCGCCTAAAACTGGACAAGAATAAAAAACGCTATCTTTTGGCTTTTAATTAATCACAAGCTAAAACCAGCAGCTGTTTTTGGATTCCTGTTCTGATGAGCTCTGAATTCTACTGCTGCCCACTGGTACACAGCAGCCGTATAATCAACACATCTTGCAACACCACAAACTCCAAGAAAAATCCTTGGACAATGATGTTTATAAGACCTAATGTATAATGGTTCAATAATGTATTTTCCTGCAAAGAAACTTATATGGGCAAACTTAAGATAACATATTCTTTAAAATATTTGTGTGTTATGAATAATACAGAAAAAAAAAATCAGTAAAACAAACATCCCTATCAATGACATAGCTTAACGCATTAATAAAAAGGAATAAATAATGTGGTGAAATGTCAAATGGGCAGTAACAACTGCTAAAATACTACACAGACTTGAAGCTAGATTCCTAAATCATTCAATTCCCCTCTCCCCCTTTGAAGTAAACGGAATTCCAGAGAAGGAAGCTATTTCTGACACCTCGAAAAAGTATGCATTGCTAAACTATTTATCTGAACCCAATGTTAGTATTAAAATCTTGGTAAACAAACTGTATATTCCAAACAAACCCCAATTATTTAGCTTTAGGGTTCTCTTGTGCTAATCTAACTCAATGCAATTTACAATCTTACAACACGGAAACGCTTCTTCATTAATGTAAAAATGAAGCAGGAATACAATTTTAATTATCAAAGCAATGGAAAGGCTATTAACACGAATAGTTTTATATCATATGGTCTTACCAGTTTTAAACATAAAAACTCCATCATTGGAAAGTACTTCCCAGAGATTAATTCAATCAATGTTAGCTGACAAGCTCACAAATTCAGAAAGGTAATAGAGTTATTACATCATTTTGCCATCCAGCTTCTACAGCAATGAACTACTTGCAGAAAGGAGCAATTTACCAAAGCCAGTGGAAGATCAATAAAAATCTCCCCAAACCAGGTGGTTTGTATTTTAGCATATACAAATGCATTAATAGTAATGCAGTGCTACGCAAAAGCTGACAGGAATGAAGAGACAGATGCTGCTTGTAAAAATATTTTCTTTCATCTATTTTTTATACTGAGGTGTTCCTCCTTGGAAGAATCAATACTAAATCGTTTTAGCATTGAAAACTCCATCACAAGCAAACAACTAAAACCCCAAAATACTTTAATATTCCTACTATTAAAATAACATATTAGGAAATAAAGGTCTTAATTCAGTGAAATAACCAATTCTGCCCCTCCAGATGCTGGACCTGGGCCTTTTGAAGAGTGCTCTTAAAATTAAGAGGCAGTATCTTCTGAGAGCATTTGCAATCTGAACGCAAACAAGAGAAAGGTAACAGATGAGAATTAAAACAAAAAAAAAGAAAGAAGAAATGGCAAAACTATTAAATCAAAATTGAAAAGCACTATTTATCTGTCTACTACGTTGGCATTTCCTAATCCGTCAAGCTCAAAGCATAATAAGGAGCATTCAATGAGCAATTATTTTCTACATTGTTAAGAGACAGCAGCCTACCTTTGACTGCTAAGTTATTACTATAAGCAACAGTATTTACTTTTCCAACAGGTAGAAATGTAATGGAAAAAATTATAGTAATTTAAGAAAAATCTGACATCCAAAAATAAGAAGCCATTAGCTATGAACACACATTTTCTGAACAATTAGCAAAAAATCCTTGAACAAAGGAATAGTGAATAAAAGTATACTGTAACATCTGGCCATAACCTAATAATTTATTGATATAATACAATACCTTTATGAGGTTTAGAGATATACAATAGCAGAGGATAATAGGCAAAAATTCAGGCCTAAATCTCATATCTTAATTTTCTTACAAAACCAAACAGCAGAGAAATCAGTAACTACAACATTCTTATAGAAGTTTTCTGTATTCATCTCAACAAAAAGCCTTCCTCCATGAATGAAATGTACCGTTTGGGGAATGCAATACTTGTGGGCAATTATTTAGAAAATTGGTTTATTCCATCATAATTTTAATTCTGAATTTTCAAAACAGACCTCTCTTAGACATAACATTTTTAGCAACTTTGTTAACAACCACGTGACCTTTTGAAGTAATACACTGAAACAAGTGTTATGTTTTTTTAAATTCATTAAGGAGAAAGAAGGAAAAAGAGGATCAGATCTCTAATATTCCAAAACTGGTTCTGAAGCCTTACAGGAGTCAGACATAAGTGTTCAATTTAGAAAATCAATATATAATATTGAAATATATCTATAATACATAATCATATACATTGGCAATGCAAGGATGTAAAGCAGTCTTCCTGGCACATATTGCAGGAGAGGAAAAGGTCATGCTATATATTAATAAAAGATTTACATGAGCATCAGAAGTTTCTGGCACAGATGGCTGCAGTCTTTGCAAGAACCAGTTACAGAAGCTACCCCAAAAGAAGTATTTTAATACTCACAGGCTTCTTGTAAGAATTTTTCTCTAACGCTGTCTGAGGTGCAGTTTTTACATGTTTTGATTGCAACGGCCATAGCTGGATTTTCCTGAAAGACATTATTGAGAAATAACTCAAATACAGCCCACCAAATACAGTCCACCAAAAGCTAAGTCCTTTAAAATTCTAGCAAAACTGCTTTAGAGAAAATTACTATTAACGAAAATATCTTTAGTTAAGAAATTACATTTTGAAAGCTTCTATATTAAAATATTATTATAGTCAAGACACCCAGCGTACAACATTTACATCTAATGCGCCTAGGAAATATTTAATCTGTTTTAAACTACGTTAAATTGTACAAAAAATTATAACAAAAGATACTAAGTTTAACTGAATAGTACTGTAAACTTTTTGCGTTATTGAGGATGGTAAACTCTTGACAGTATTTAGCAAAAGCAGAGGAAAAAAGTAGATATATGCCTAAAAAACACACTTGGCCTACGCAAGCAAGCAACCTGGAAAGCCAAATAAAGGACTTTTTGTGGCTCTTGCACAGCAAAGACTGGCTATAATTTTGAACTCAAACTACAAAGGAAAGTAAAACAAAGATTTTACATATTAGCTTCACAATCAGTTATATCAAGGGCTTAAAACTGAGTTAAAGAGAACACATGTATTCAAAATCAGAAACAGATTTTACCATCTGATTACTTATCCTCTGAATACTGAAAAATAAGAACCACTGAGACAGCCCAAAGGAGGCCTCTTGGTTCAGGCGGCATCTTTCATCTTCTCTTGCTTTGGTGTGTTTTACAAATACCCTTTCCATAAATTACAGACAGCCCAGAGAAGCTGCAAGCGTTTTCTCCTGAGAAGAAGCTTTAGGTGTTCAAGCTTCACTAGTATTCAAAATGCCACAACTTAGAAAATGGTATTTTTACAACACAGTGTAACCCCACGGTAACATGCAGTGCTCTGATGTCACTCATACAAGTTCTTAATGGGTTGGAAGAAGCTGAAGTGTTTTAAAATTAAGCTTCTACATTAGGTATAGGCCTGCTGAAGGACTAATATGCCTTCCTTCCAACTGGGAAATTGGGAATTGTGCATTGTTTAATGGGAAGATTACAAATGAACCTTTCCCCAAAAGGCTACACGGTTGATATATGTCCTCACCTAGTTTTTAAGGCCAGTGAGAGCTGAAGATTCACACAGTTATGTTCTATGTCTGCTCATGCTTGCTCTATTTTAAATCTATTTTTACACACAAACATTATCAGAATTAGAATAATATTTATACTTTTCAGGCTTAAATGTCTATTTTCTAAGTTACTCACAACATAGCTCTTCTAGTTGACTTTGCAGGAAAACACAGATTAAAAACTTGTGTCATACCTAAACATGCCTAAACTGACCGAAAAACTGGTGGTAAATTAAGATGATTGTATTCCCGTCTGAAATCAGGATTCAGTAATCAGCACTGGATGAGACCTCTGGAGGCCAGCCAGACCAATCCCTCTCCTGGTGTTACAGGCAAGAGTTTTTGAAACATCTCATAACTAACATTAGCATCAAAAGGAAGAGTTTCAGTGTCTGCAACCAGCAAAGACTCCAGACATTTTGCAAAATAAATATAGAAAAAGGCCTGATACCAGGGTTTTGCTTATCTTTTGTTTTCAGATAAGGAGACAAAACAGTGAGGATATATCAGACTGGCAACAGTCAGTTCATGTACTGAGCAGCAAACACTATTTTAAATGACACTTTTGAAGTGTTTGGAGTTAGTAAGCAGCATTCAAGAAGAGGTGGATGCTGCACAGTCACTAGAATAAGAACTTTACAAGTACAATGAACAGGGATAAATGAGATTTTTCAGATTCAAATTTGAGCTTGCAGAACAAGAGGCCAGAAATCTCTCCTATATTTTTGCATGAGAGCTGAATTATACACAAGGATGGAAACGCTATCACGTTACTGTAACTAAACTTCTATCTATTGTAAGATTTATTCCAAAAGTTTAAGTTGCACTCTGTCACTAGTACATTAAAATTTAATACCTTTCTGTTTGCCCTTCAAGTGTTTTAAATGTACTATATTTTATTAATAAATTGCCATTTAAAAAACTTATAGTAGACACAGGTTGACTGAATAAAATATGTTTTCCAATAAAAGAAAAGGAATGGAGAGAGACAGCATTTTCAAAACAAGACTCCATAAGAAAAGGGGTCTTTAAGTGGTTTTACAGAGCACTAGATCTATCCACTGTGCCCGAAGTTTAGTGAAACACTACTCCTCAAGTACTCCTGTTAACCTGACAGGATCAAATGAACAATAAGGATCTCCCTTAATGCAAAATATATCAGAACTGCTTTTCTAAATGAAGGTATCAGAACAGACTTCAAGCTTGTCTGAAATATATAACATTTATCCTTTTTTATTTACTTAAATACTGCATTAAAGATTTATTTATTTAACCGACTGAGCCCAGGATGCTAACCAGCTGTTTTTGGGAAATACTGTTTCTGAAGTTAAAACTAGATTGTTGTCCACATGAATTATTACTTCATCTATTGAAAATCCAGACACTTAAGTTTCTTCAAATGAGAAATAGATCTTCATTTTACAATTGCACAATTGTAAAATGTGCAAGGGTCTAGAGCACAAGTCTTATGAGAAGCGGCTGAGGGAACTGGGGCTGTTTAGCCTGGAGAAGAGGAGGCTGAGGGGAGACCTCATCGCGCTCTACAACTACCTGAAAGGAGGTTGTAGCGAGGTGGGGGTTGGTCTCTTCTGCCAAGTAACAAGCGATAGGACGAGAGGAAATGGCCTCAAGTTGCGCCAAGGGAGGTTTAGACTGGACATTAGGAAAAACTTCTTCACTGAAAGAGTGGTCAGGCCTTGGAACAGGCTGCCCAGGGAAGTGGTGGAGTCACCATCCCTGGAGGTATTTAAAAGACGTGTAGATGAGGCGCTTAGGGACATGGTTTAGTGGGCATGGTGTGTTGGGTTAACGGTTGGACTTGATGATCTTAGAGGTCTTTTCCAACCTTAATGATTCTATGATTCTATGATTCTAATTAGTTTATTATTAGCTTGAAATTGGTTGAAATGAAATAATTTTCCAGCTTTCTCTTGCTTTTTTCCACAAACTTAATTTTTCATCCATTTAAATTGCAATCTTAATCTTTGAGGCTGCAGTCCAGAAAAACACATTAAGCACCAGCCTAAATTACCCAAGTCCCGCCAACCTCACTGGTTTCACCGAGGTAACTCTTGTGCATTGGGGTTTTGCTGGATCAGTGCCCAAGTTTTTTGTATCTTTTCTTTCAGGAAAAAGTAGAAAGTTTACTAACATACAAGCTTCTTTGTGAGAGATTTAGTGAGATGCTCACTGGAGAAACAGACACATTTGTTTAACATTATTGTCCCTCTGCTGTAGGCTACTGCCCTTCCAGCATAACAGACTAAAATTTCTTCTCTGTATTTCAGCACAGAAGTTATCCTGACACAGTTGGCAGCTTCTGCACGGAACATTGAATCTAAACTGAAGTCAGGCTGAACACCCATAAATACTGTTTTAAACTTCGGAAAAGCACTGAACGTTGAATAGAGGAGTATGGCCAAAGGGACGTGTGCTTACCATGGTTGGACACACTCAAAATAAAGAAGAAAGTGTATGGTTGGGGTTAAAAGCAACGACTTCTAATTCCGACTCACTGACTGGCTTTAGTACAGTCCCAAATAATTTACTTGCTCTTTTCATTCCTTTCCCGATCTATAAAAAAATGGGGATATAGGAGCAGAGAAACTACTCTGGAGCTAGTTTTCTACTTATCTGAAACATTGGAAATATTCTCTACCTGCTGATTATTCTGAAAAATAAATTACAAAGTCAATTTTTATTTGTTCCGGAAGACTCAGATCAAGGCATCTAAGGAATACATTTATTTTTTATTTTATTTTTTAACTAGAAAGGTTTTATTGTTTGTTTATTTTTATTTCAGAAGTGAGGCTTACCGGACTCATGTAAACTCCTTGGTGTACATCTCCAAACTGTCCTTCACCAATGCAGCGCCCCAGTTCAATTCTCTCCCTTTGAATTTCATAATCTCTGGCTATAAGAATATAATGCACTTAAAATATCAAATTTCTGATGAAGGGCAAAGAAATAATCCACAAGATACGAAACTCAAAGTAAGTCACTCAAATGTCTCACATACGAATAGCTAAGATTAACATTTGCTGCACACCAACCTATACAAATGCTGTATACACACAGTGGAATCCTCTTAAACAAATGTTTGAATCAAAGCAATGAAAAAGGAATTGTGAAATCTAATTTGCTAAACTAACTACTATGCATTATTTATTTCAATGCAATAGACATAATTGAATCCTTCTTAATTATAGCTAGTAAAAGACAAAGAACACAAATAGCCCAGGGCAATACTAATGGTATTAAAAACAGCCTTAGCACACATCCCTTTACATGTTTGAGAGAACTCCACTATGCGGTATTTTAGATTTTGGAACCATCAAATGAGCCCAGAGACTTTTTAAAGAGGTAACTGCAAGAAACAATACAGAAACAAGGACATAGCAAATAAAGATAAAATGAAAGAGCAAAATTTTGAGTGCACTACAGCTCTATCAGTGTGTAATTGAAGTAAAATTGATATGTTTTGCGGACTTATGCAATTTTGTTAAGTTCGCTGTTTAATAGATTGAGAATATTACTGCTAAAAATGGCTCAGTACTTCAGCAAAACATTTAATCAATTGCAATTGAATTACTTCATTTGCAATTTAATTTCTAGCAGACATGGAAAAATATTTCAGCAATAGCAGAAAAGCATGTACAGTATATGTTTTCACCTCTATTTGTATTATTCAGAGGAAAAAAATATAATCAACCAGCTTAGGACTTCATGACTGATGATTTTGCTTCATTAACACTACAGAAATAATGTCATCTAGACCCGGATAACAAAGTGATAAATGCCTTTTTCACTTCTTTTTTTAAGTACTGCATTTTCCTCTTTAAAATCCCGAAGCTAACTGGTTTAACTATAAATAAATAATGTTTATTAAATAAAAGTAAATAGTAAACTTAAAAATTCCACATCATTCCAAATTGCAAGCATACAGGGATGGGTAAAGGGTCTCCTGTTACCTTCATCTATTCCATAGCTTTCTGCAGTGCAATTAAGAGAAAAATCAAATGCTTACTTAGATATAGCTTCTTAAAATCAAGACAAGGACAAACATTTTTTAACATTGTTTTAAAAAATGAAGAAGTATACTGATGCAATTTTAAGTTTACATTAGCAGAAGTCACAGGTCTGTTCTTGTGAACTTTACTGACTCCGTCCTTTGAGAGCTGAACACTTGAGTCTACTTCAATCCAGCAAAGCACTTAATGAATTTCACTTCAACAGCCCATCTCATGGGCTTTGAATTGAAGGCATACTTAAACGTTCAGCGTAATGCAGGGCTGGGCCCATAAGTAATTAATTCCATGAGAATTTAAATGAAAAGATTGGGGTGGGGGGGGGGGGGGAATCACACAATGTTAATATGTTACCAAAAAATAAAGGATATAATTTATCACAGTACTTTTTGATCCTGCAATTATTTTAGTAGAATCATGTAGTGAGCTACTGCAAGACATTCAAAACACATTGTTTATTTCTGGAAAACATATATTCTTGCTTTTCAAATATTTATGTCCAAATATATATGTTTTTCAAAACATATATTCTTGTTTTTCAAATATTTTCCACAGTAGTGGAAACTATGTTTTAAACACTGAAGTGATCATGAAACATTCCTGCCACATGGTGAACTCTAGAAATCCTTACATACATTCATGGTTCTTCAGCAGAACATGGTACCAGTTTAGGACCATCCTCCCCTCTTACACTAATCAAACCTGATATTTTTGCACGTATCAACAGATTGTCTACTTCTACAGAAATCCTTGGTTGCCAAAACGCAACTGTAATTTCGCAGACACAACTTTTAAAATCAGAATACTAGACTTTCACGTTAATTAGTTAGCCTTGACAGTTTAAGATTGTAATTCAAACATGCCATGAGACAAAATCCTTGTGGTGGCTAATGCATCTTTTTTTTTACTTCAAAGATGAAGACTCAGAAAAACATTGGAATTTTTATTTTTGTTTCTAAAGTCTTTCATCTTTAACAAAATTGCATGTGGTACAGATGACTTTCCTCTATCACGGAATTCAAGAGCAGCAAGTCTGTCATAGAGCAAGGGTGAGATACAGTTAGACAGCAACACACAGAAGCTTCCCAAATTGTTTGCTCTTATCACAGAAATCTTATCCATTCTTTCTTTAAGTGTTTTGTTCAGCATCACAATCAAAAAAACCTCCATTTTGAGACATAAAAGGAATTTCATTGTGAAGTCACTGACAGCAGCAAAATAGAATTTGGTTTTATTTGCTTCAAAACCTGAACTTGAAAAACACTGATCTATGAGTTTTCAAAACATCATAAAGAATATTTTGTTTGCACACATATTACTTAGGTCTGAAATGTAAGATTCAGTCCCTGCTAAACCAAAGAAGCTTTCGGGTAGAAAAGTTCCCAAGTTAACTACCATACTTACTTGATGGCATTGTATAAGTATCTTCTTCATCTATAATCTCTGCATAGTCATCTGTCTCTGTAAAGGGAGGAATTGAAGAGTTTCGGGAAAAGCAGATGAAAACAATTCTCCAGAACAATATCTCCAATTTATCAAGGCTGATATGTCACATGCCCCAGCTTCAACATTGCTGGGACGCATTTACAATAGCATGAATAAAACTTGCTCATGCATAATTTATGGTATGATAATGACCTCAGTGCCAATTATACTACGTCACATAGATGCATTCAACAAGGAATAAAAGGAAGATTCATTTGTATTCAAAAAAGTTCAAGTTCCGTAATTGAAACCCATCTAAACTGTTGACTTAAATCTTTTTAACAGCAAATTCCACTGCAGTAAGGAGAAAACATTATTAATGGATTAAACTGCTTTACTTTCAATAAACTGTGAATAACAGTTTGCTAGTTTTTTATGTCAAACAGGCAGAACAGACAGTAAAGATGTTCCAGGGCAGCATCTACCTACTGTCAGTGTGGCAAGGTGAGTTATTTTCCATAGTCTTCTAGAGCATAAAGATCGTTTAAGTCACATTCTCGCCTTACACCCATTTTCCTTGCATTAGTCTCAATTTTCCTCTCATGGACAGAGTTTGAAAACAACCAATTCTCAAAATTTTATGAAAAATGATAGTGTATTTCCTCCTCTGTTTGAAACTTGTGACTTTTACATCATCTGTTCTCAAAATGCTTTAAATGGTGTCAAGTCATATCAGAAGGTCCTTCTCTTGCTCTAAGAACTTCCAGTGTGCGTATGTCATTTCCTAAAGGTCAGATAAATTCTTTGGGCGGTTACAAAACCAGTCCACAACAGTGAGATAATTTTTCACTGCAAGACTGTTAAATTCTACTCACCAACTTTAAATGCATAGAGAGGTTCTCAGAATTGAATAATTTCAAATCCAGTATGCAGTTTTCATGCTTGGTTTCAGGTGATCACATATTGGCTCTCCTCTGAAAGGCATGATTTACTCCCCCTTTTTCCCCATCTGCCCTGGAGCATATGTATATCCCTACAACTCCCTGGCATCATTTCTAGAGGTATGGTTTCTGAATGGTGAATGGGACAAAGCCACAGTGAGACTGGAAAGAAGGATGGGATGATCCCTTTTGGCAGCAGCCCTCAGTTCAACCAACTTAAGCCAACTCTGAAACCAGAGCAAGGCTCATAAATATTATACACATACATAAACAAGAGGCTTAATTTTCATACAAACTGAATATTCAACAATTAGGAAACTACGGGTTGCCTATAACCTTTGAAGTTCAACACACTTTAGTGAGTAAGTGTAGTTTTATGATCCTAACTTCGTACTACTTAAATAAAATTAAATCTATTTTTCTTTCGAACTCCTGTAGGAATATACCGTGTCTTGTAAAAACAGAATCAGGAAATTCTATGCCATTTAAGTTTTTGCTAGGCAATTTCTATTTAGGACACAGCAAAACAGACTCACCTAATGAAAATTCAATTTATTATAGAGACAGTGCACAATTCTAAACAGGAAGCATACTCAAGAGACACTAATCTCTTTCTTGGTATGTTTTTTCCTCCCTACATTATAAACTAATTTTTTTGTAGAAAATAAGACCCAGTTTGATCTAAAAAATAAGCATCCATTTGAAAGAAATCGTTAGTGTGACACCAATGTGATGGGGATAAATCACTCTGCTTCCTTGTACTATTGTGGTAAGATGTTTCTAACTTTTGTTAAGTGTGATATATATCAACTATTGTTACAGGCTAATATTTGAGGATACCAGAAAGTTCTTAATCTATGTTAAAAAAAAAAAAAAAGGACCGAATGAAAAGATATTACAAACATATTTGAGAAGAATTTAAGTTTGGAAACTAGAACTGGTGCCACACTGGTCTTTAAAAAACTAAAACATTTGTCACACTAGATTATGGAACAGTGCTTTCAAAATGTGATAAATGGCTTGGCTTGTTCATCTCTCTATTTTAAACTAATGAAGTTAATTCATAATAAAAGCATTATCTGAACACCGCAGAGCACTTTACATGGTTTTGATACATTGCCTAAAACCATCCTGAAACTAAAAGGGTCTTCAGTAGCCAATCCAAATAAATTAATGAATGCAATTAACTAAACAAATATTTTTGTTACACATTTAACACTCTGGAAAGGAATATATAATAAGAATTCAGAAAATAATTCCTATACATGTCTGGCATTGTTTCTGGGAATTAAAGGAAAATTCAATCAAGGCATTAACAGTCATGTGCTCAAAGTGTTCTGCAACAAAGAGAACTGACCACTCTCACATGTAGTCTTTACCCCACGATTAGAGTCATATAGTATGAGACTATTACCAAGTCTGCTATGACTGTGACTATGTCTGCCAAGAGATATTCCAGAACCCACATGGAGTCTAAAGCAAAACTCAGCTGGGCAAGGCTCTCCAGACTGCTTTACAAAGAATGATGTGCTATAGCAGTCTCAAGAGCTAAACACTCACAACAAAGCAGCGACTCCAGGAGATGTCCTATCTTCGAGGCCCTTCGTAAGTCTAGAAAAACTAAGATTTAAAAATAGGGCTCATTACGGCTGCTCTCTCAGACATTTTAAAACCAGCACTGAACATGTTGGTCAACCCCAGATTCTTCTAGATGGAAAAACGAATAGGTTGCTTTTGGACGAAGATACAGTGTTGGTGGTACAGGCGAATGAGCCAATTTAAGCTTTACTAAATCTGAATCATTCATTAAACAGTAGGAAAAAACATCCTAGGATATTAAATCCATAATAGCTAATCCATGATCTAATCCATGATCCACCTGTTTGAAATTTCATGATTTTTTCCCATTTATCAGAGCCCGTAATTTATAAAAGAAGATAAGCACCAATAAAAAGCTATATAGGGTTAGTATGTGAAATATAATTTCTGCATTTAGGACAGAAAAAATGTCCTTTGAGTTTTTAATGTTTTAAGAAAAGAAAGAAAACTGGGATAGTATTATCTTTGATTTATATCTGAAGGACAGAAAGGAGATGAAAAGTTATACACCCTCTTCACATTTTACTGAGGAAGGCCATAAGACATTATCTCTATTTCTTCTTATCGCCTTCCTTTGCATACTGCTTTTTATGCCCTTTTAGTACCTCCTACTTATAAGGATAAAGATACACTATCGGTAGTAGCAGTTTGATTTTTTCCCCAACATCAGATGGAATGCTTTAGAAAAATAGCTAAAAATCTTTTTAAAAAAACAAAACCAAAACCCAACTTGTTTTCAGAGGATAGCAAGTCAATATTTTCTAGAAAAAGAGACAAAGTCTGGAAAAGTTAAATATTTTGTAATAAGTTTCAAAGTTTTGAAGAAGAACATTAAAACCTGTCTTTAAAATTAGCAGTTTGAGTAGCTGAATCCTGATTAATATTTCATGTATTCAATCTACATTAATCTATCTTGCACAGCTTCTTTTTATGCAAGGAGCAGTAGTGGACTACAGAGCGCTTTGATGCTACCATGCCTTTAAAGCATCGCTTAGTAGACTCTCTTCTCACGTGTGACATCCATTGATCTCACCCACCGACCAAAAAAATTCTGTGATACAACCATTTCAATCAAACTGAATGGACACTCTTGCAAACCTACAAACCTGCTTTGCATCATGCCAGAACTCTCATTGCAAACGCATGCAATACCACATCCCTGTGTGTTTGAAATAGTTTTTTCTTTTTCAATTCCAGTTTAGCAGAAAGTGTTAGTTGCACAGCCTGTAAAGTACAATATTTATTGGCTAATGTCCAAAGCAGACTGCTTTTTAATACTAAAATCTGTATAAAATTTATTACTGAAATGTGCATTAAGTGGTATATGGATATAAGAGTTGCATATTGCACGTTAGTAACACACAGACTAGAAAACATATTACCGTCCCCACTAATTTCATCTGCAGATCCAGGTGGCATGCAAGGAAAGAGAAAAACAGAGGGGGAGAGAGAAGGGACAGAGAAGGGGAGGGGAAAATATACTATTAAATTCATGAGTAATCCAAAAGTATTCAGACTGCAGTTATATTATATACCTGACTCAAGAGAAACCAGAAAAGTAGCAGAATTTAAGACTTCTCACCTAAAACCCAAGGGACAAAGATATGTTCTAAGAAGCTTGTATGATGAAACAGAGTTAATGACTTTCAAACACAAATTTATACAAAAATTAAATTTGGGAGTGGAACTACTTTAATGCATTGTTAAGAAATGCCAATTTCCGGTTTAAGTCAATACTTCACTACAAAATGGATCTCCTACAGCCAGATGAGTTGAGTTTAATTTGACTTTTCACACACTTACGACTTTGGATAACTAGAGTTGGTGTTCACCCTTTCAAAGGAAATGCACTCCTCTACTATCACTAAGACATGAGCAAGTAAGTAAGTACTAATCATCTAAGTACTAATTACACAGAGCATATTGGTAGTTATACAAAGCTGAAATTTAAACCAATGGCAAACGGAGCAACTCTACTGGAAAGCTGTTCAAATGAGCACCATATTCCGCATTTATGGTAGCGGCCCTATGCCACACTAATACCCACAGCACAAGCTGATGCACTTCAGACATTATTTATAAATAAAAGGAAAATGAGCATTAATGTTGTAAAAGGAATGCACTTGTTACTCCAATTCTTCTTACCCCTAACAAAGCCAAACTGGTCCACACCAAATGCTGAACCAGTATGCAGCCAAAAGCATCACTGTATTCAGTATTTAATTCAGAGTGATCTTAGCTGATGCTTATTGTTGCTATTCTATTTCATTCATAAGCATGCTGTATCAGGGGTCCAAGAATGAAGTAAAAATATATTAACCAAAAAGCCCATGGGTATACAGGGGCTGCATAGCTATACAAATGAAATTATTAATATGTTTGTCATTGTAGAATATGATGCTTAACACTCAGTCCCCCATAAAAATGGGGACCAGCAAGTTTGTGACACTGCATGAAAATCCAATTCAATAGGAGGAAAGGGGTAGCAAAAATTTAAAGAAATTATTCTTGGAACTCTGTTTACCTGAGGTTAAAGTAGTAAAAAAACCAGTAACTGCGTTAGTATATTCAGCTTTTGGGTTAATAAGGCAGCCTATACAAAGAGCAGTGCAGTACCCTTAGGCGGCGGCTCATGGGAACAGAAGACGAAAGGGAGAAAGCGTCTAGCTTTCTTTACTTTATGCTGACAGTGATTGACTCCTTTACAAAGAGGCAAGAAAAGGAAAGAGAAAAACAGAAACAAATTATTTGGAAATAAAAGAAAAGAGACTGGAGAGAACATCTACAATGAACGAACATAAAAGTAAAGGTTTACATTACAATTCTGTATACACAAATGGATATACGAATGTTGCTGAAACTCTAAAGCATATTTGGTATTTTCAAATTCCTTTCTACAGCAGTTATTCTTATTTCAATTTTTGAAAGTGAGACTAGAATCTATTTAAAAAGTCAGCTTTTCCCAACTATATATACCATCCATTGACAACACAAAGAACATTGTCTATCCCAGAACTCCCATCTAAGTTCTACTAGACTGTGCTGTAGCTAAAAATTCTGATTTAAGAGGCAGTCACCAGACTTAAACATGGACGTATTGACTTTCTGGACCCTTTAAAGAACTTAACGCAAAACAAGTATTTCACATACCAGGGTTACATAGAACAAGGAAAAACACAGTTTCTCTGTCCCACTGAAATACAACACTGACATATTTTATGATCTGAAATCTGCCACGGGAGTTTTATCCCCAGTGCAGACCTGTCTTGCCAATTGATAGTCTAGCTCTCCAAGGATCTCCCTTGGCGAACACCCCATGGCACCGTCCTCACTGTCCCCTTTCCTAGTACCCTACAGCATTGAATTAGCAAAGCGCTTATCAAGAGGAGAGAGTTTTCTGAGTAGGAGAAAATACAAAGAAGCCATAACTGATTTCAGAAGGTGCGAAAGGACACAAGACAACACTAAGAACCTGAGGATAGCTGTTCCTTTTATTTCTCTTGTTATCTGTTCGCTCCTCTCTGCTTTCCTCTTTTCCTTCTCTCCTCTATCTCAGGAAATGTGAGATGGCTTTAAAAAGCCAATCAACTAAAAACCCGCATCTTGCTGCTGGTAGTCCTTCACAGTCAAAACTGAAGAGTGAGGTCCAGCCACCTTGAGTTATAAAGGTGTTGAAAGAGAAGCCCAGTACTACAGAAGCAGCATACTGGCACAGCATACTAGTCAGTGGTGGGAGGGGTGGAGGAAGGGCAGAAAAGGAGAATTACCTTTTAATAAAAATAACTTCACATTTTTCATAGATTCTGGAAACCTAAGAACCATCAAAGCAGCTACACTTACACAAAAGCACCATCTTATACACAGTTGTGCAGTTTTTAGTGGCCAGATTTTGAGGGATAACGTGCAGAATTTTTTTAAAGGTGTATTAAGTGTGTTCAATCACTGTCCAATCTGGAGGCTGCATGTTGAATTTCATGCATGCAAATCTAATGGGTAACGCACTACTATGTACAACCCATTCTTCGCTAAGATGGCAATTTTAGTCCAAAGTTAAAATAAGTGGATGAGATTTATCATTGTATGCTAAACATCAAAAAAGTACCATTATAAAAACTGCTGGGGTGATTCAACAAACAGAAATCATTCATCAATTGTGAAAATGTACATGTCATTGAAAATGACAGAACATTAATCAGATTCAATGCTAAAAACTAAAAGAGGTGCAAGGAGAGGGCAAAATTATTAAGTAAGTTAGTGTATCAGTATTTCTGCGTATACCATATTACTGCAATCCTAGGGACTTATCTTCCTAACATCACATAGCACAATTTTCAGCACTATCATTCTAACACAAACCTGAGGTAACATTCATAAAAAGCTTTAGACACAGTACGAAAGAAAAGCTATTTTAAGAGACTACTGAAAAGGTACTGAAATGAGAATAAAGGAATCGAATACTCCGTACTGAAACAGAAGAAGAGGTATAGAGTCACTGGAAGCAACGCAAGCTATCTAAAAGGGAAGAGATGTTTCAACTCTTGACCTGTCTGCTCAGGCTACAAAGCTAATTTAAGCTTGAAATGCTGAAATGCTGTTCACTCTATGTGGATAGCAGAAGCCGACTGAAACCTGACTAAACTATTTCATATGAAGGGCACATCAAAATGACAAAGGTGTTTTTAATTCATCATGTACATGTCCTGATGCCCTGTGATACTCAGTCCAACCCGTCTTCTGCATTTCAAACTTTGCCTTTATGATTTACTGTCTTAACTATTCTGCCAGACTAAACAGAAGACTGTTTTGTCTTAAACTTACCACATCTTCAAGTCTAGGTACAAAAGAAAGTTTATTTGGGTAAAGAGTTGATTCTAAGGTTAAAAAAAAAAAAAGAAGTTCCAAAATTTTTTCAGGAGCTTAGAGAGTACCTGCTTGAAACGAATACTACTTAGAAGGATTTCCACCATTCCACACCGGCTTCCAGGCAGGATATCACTGGCATCTACCTAACTGCCCATAAAGCTCAGAAATGCTGCTGAAAACTGCACTGGACTTCTTTTTTAATTTAGTTCCTCTTTTCAGTACTAAGTATTTACTAAAATTATTGTGTAAAAAAAAAAAAAGAACAAATCACTTGCTATGCAACAGACTATGTTAGAAAGGAAGCGACCAGGCTAGTGGGCAGTTACTACTGGAGCTTCTTGTTAGGATTGTATGAGTAGATAACCAATACTGGAAGGCTGAAACCGATAATTTCCCATTCTATTTTAGTCATACATTCCTGAATCAGTTTGAGGAAAAACCCTGAAAAAAATCTGTGGAAGGAATAAATCTATTTGTTTTCAAGCTTTTGAAATAAAATGAGCACTACGCAGTTATCACATCAAGTATGTTTAAACATAAACAACAAAACCCCAAACCTAATAATTCATGGAACATTTCTTTAGTCGTACTACAGTGTTATTATTAGCAAAGCAAAAATGTCTGCCCAAATCAAATGAATGGATCACAAAGGAGGAGCGTAGGAGGGTAAGAACTCTTTAACAGACTGATGAAATCAATGCAGTAACTTCCTAGGTACCGATATGGAGAAAGTCTATTTAGTCTGTCACCACAGTTCATTCTGGTCTTCTTATGCATGAAAAGAAGCATTTTAGTCAGTCTAAAATACAAAACAGGTAACACCACCGGTCTATTCAACTGTGATGGGAATCTGAAATATTGTAATTTATTAGCATTAAGGGTATTTTTAACTATATTATCTTACTAATCAGCAGAATAGCTGGGTGAGTTAAGAAGCAAGTAACTCCCTTCGTGAACTTGGAGACTAATGACTTGCTCAAGGTTTGTAAAATTAATCTGCAGTAAACCTTAGGCTTGAATGTCTCCCAGTCCTGTGACCATATGGCAGAGCTACAGCAGTACAGAGCCTTTATATTCCTCCAATTACTTAATAATTTCAATGTATAACTATGTAAATTATGCTAAGACTGTTAGTCTTTCTTTTCAGAAGTAGTGACCTGTAGAGTATGACATAACTGAGCTAGCAGACACAGTCATAAGCACTCAAGATACAATTTTTCATCTTAAAAATTTACTTACACCTTTCAGCATTGTTTTTTTGGAATGACTTGACAAAACGAACATGAAAAAAAAAATCTTTACAAACTCAAGCAAAGAACACCTTTTTCCCCTACCAACTAATTCAAATGGAACTAGCAAATACAAGTCCTACACAAGAAACTCTTTTGGAGTTGAGCACAGGGCAGACCTTCATTTTGAGCACAGGAATCATGAAACAGAGCGTGCACTGTGCTTTGCAAGCAGAAGCGATTCAATAAAATTGTATTTCTTTCCATCCTTGCTCACAGCTTAGCTTGTGATTAGCCCGCATCATTCACCCGTATATTCAGGTCCTTTCATATGCTGACATCTCCTTCATTAAGAACATTTTTAAGTGTTGTAATACTCAAATCAGGTGAATATATTTATTATTTTTTTCTCTCCTGTTTGTTGCATTTTGACATTGGCTCCTGCTATATTTCAGTTTGTTCTAGGTAACCTGCTGGAAGTCTCTCTCACAGATGAATATACCATATAATTTTTTTCTGCATGCTAAAATCTCACTTAAATCATGCTTATAACTCCTTCAAAAGATACATTTTTTCATTCAAATTGAGATTTCAGCTAAATGGTACGATTAAATTGGCAACTACTTCAAACAGGATCTGCTCGTAAGTAGCACCTTAGAGAAGAACTCTCATACCACTTCACTGCCACGATCAGGAGTTAACCAGAGTAAGTGATTTAAGTGTAATGATACTATACTATGGATCTGTGATCCTAAGGCAGAACCTGGAAACTTGCTGAGAAGCCCCTTTCAGGATGTTAAAATCCTTCAGTTCCTATAAGGAAGCTCTCTCCAAGAGATCCGATTTCTCCTTTGCAGGGCACGTTACTGGATATATCTAAACCATGGGATGCAGTTATAATTAAAATTATATAAGCAAATAGAAGCAAACAAATTTTCTTTTTTTCCTCTATGGAGAGGCAATGGCACACCAGCATTATTAGAAACATATGCCATCATATTACCATGCACTTAGAGCTATACCCCTTTTGACTTTAAAATACTACTTGTATTAGTAACAACAGCCACACCAGCTAGGGAACAAGATTGCAAACAAATTTCTCTTTAAGATACCTATTTCCCTACTAAAGGCATGTGTCCTGAGGTCTGTTACTTAGATGGCTTGAACAGCCTGCCTTTATATCTGAAACACTGATCATATTTTTAAACACCTTTCAATTTCCTTCACCAAATAAGCACAAACTAAAGCTGCAAAACCAGCACCCACGTTGAACCAAGACCAATCCTGTGGCAGGCCCTAAAAACCCGTTTCAGGCACATGCCTTGTGCTGGCTCCTGCAGAACAGCTCATCTTCTTCCTTACTGTCATCTTTCCAGTTGCAGCTCCCTCCCCACAAACACATTATTTTATTCAGCAGTACCTGAATATTCAAAATGCCAAGAGTGACTGCTTAGAATCATAGAATCATTTAGGTTGGAAAAGACCCTTAAGATGGAGTCCAGCCGTAAACCTAACATTGCCAAGAACCTAACACTGCCAAGACTTGTTCGATACTCTGCTTGTTCAACACTTGCTGAAACAAGTGGGCCTGAAATGTCATATTCTGTAGCACTGCACGTAAAGTAACGTTTGAGCTATGATTAAAAAAATTTACATCCATAGAATTCTCTAGTGCAAAAGAGGCACAACAATTAGCCACAGGATGCAAAAGCATATTTATTCTTCCTAGTCATATTTATGTAAGCAAGGATGGGGCAGGAGAAACCAAAGAGCTCTGTGTGAGAAAGAATTTATGTAAAAAGGGAGCAAGTAAACTAAGGCTTTATTGATTTCATTTTATGAAGAACTTTTTAGAATATATAATTGACTAGGTAAATTATTATTTTTGGAAATATGTGTATCAGGAAATACGTGCATCACCTTACTAAGGCTAATGTTTGCTGTATCAAAACAAACTGCTGGCCAAAATAAGTTCCTGTAGGCTAGAGTAGAGCATTTTAATAAGGTGACTCCAAGCAAAACAGGAGAAAATCTAGTCAATGAAATTATAGTAAACTAGTATGCTGCTTTTTACAAATTTGATACACTATTTGCACACAGCAAATGGTTTAGCCTTACTGTTTCCTGAGTGTACACTCTTGCCTAAGTACAAAGAATTCTTTTTTAATGTAAAGACAGAAGTAGAGGGAGAAGAAGATAAAAGTTGGAACTACCTATCTATTAACTAGAACACTCATCGCTTCTGGTGAATCACAGGAACTTAAATCAAAACATCAGATGTATATCAAAGAAATCTGAAATCCAACTCATTGAATTTGACTTCTTGTTTATATTTATTTATAATCCTACACACGCGCGAACATAAAATTTGAGGGATAAAATTATTACTGTATGCTTTAAAAAATGGGGGAAATCTGGCAGGCATCTTACTTGCACACAGTGAAAGACAGTGCCCACTGCAAGGAACATGGAATTTGAAGAAGCAAGGCAGACAAATAATACCAGAAGAAACAGAAACAGAAGCATGCAGTAAGAGGTGTGTTGTGAAACCTGGTTTAGTGACACACAGCCGTAAGAGAACACTTCTTGGCTCCCAGGTCCAGCAATCTGCTGCTTTGGATTCCTGAAACCAACTTCACCCTTCACTAGTTTGAAAAGGCCTTTATTTAGAGCAAAAAAAAAGAAAAGTATTTAAAAACCTTCTATCTTTGTATGCTTTGGAATATTGAAACACTTGGAAAGAACAAGTTTTCGTTTCACTAGACCAGAAATATTTCAAGGTATGTTAATAAGTATTTCAAAAAGACAGACAAGGCGCCTTTCATTAACAGGCTCATTTTTAAACCTCCAAAACTTCAGACAAATACCTGAACTTTTAGACCACCAAATCATGTTCCACACCAGTTTTCGGCTATTGCTGGTTTCCCCGGACTGCGGTAGGGAACTCACTGTGAAACTTTCCTTTAGAACTAAGGGTATTAATACTATAAATATGTCTGACTGCTTAAATGTCTCAGATTTTTGCTATTCAGCTTTAGCATTGGAAGAGGTTTAAACAAAGAATAGCAATCTCACTGAGAACAAACAGCAGAGTTAATTTATGATTTAAACCATCAAAGGCATGAAGGATGTTACAGCTGTCAGTAAGTTATAAAAGCTCGTCTTATTTGAAGCCTTTAGCTCTAAGTCACTTAAATGTCACCAGAGAAAAGCTCTTATTCTGCAAACCAAGATAGCATCACCCACAGCTGGCTTTGCACTGGATGCTGTCAGCTGTCAGACTCTGCTGACCTGTAACTCTCGGGTTAACTGAACATTATGTACATCTGTTGCCTCCGTTGTTCCATACTGATGGATCAGTTACATATGACAAGAGGAGTGACACTTCTTCACATCTACATGAAGTATTACTTCATTTATAACAAGCTGATTCCTTTGGGAACTCAGAGATTCTTACAGAAAGCACCTCCCGAGGAAAAACCCTTATCACACAACTTTATCTCAACAATCTGTCTGTGGTTTAAATTTAATATGCTGACATCCATGCCACACTCGATGCATTTCAAATAATTTTGGGGCAAAAAAACCAAACCACCACCAACAAAAAGTATGTCAGTGTTCTATGGACACTTATTAAAACGAAGAACCCTTGAGAATGAATAATAAATGCAATGGCTTGAATCATTTCAGTATTATGTCAGTGTTTCCAGTGGTTTGTAACACAGGATAAAAAACAAGAATCAAGCACAATGATTTCATTGTGGAAAGATACAAAACCTTACTACAATACAAGAAAAATACCTACTTGGTTTTGATTTCAGTATTGGAAAGAAAGGGATGGACATTTGCTGGTTTAATTTGATTGTTTTGCTTAAGGCATCAGGAGTCAGCTTTGCACCTTACAGCTTCCTTGATGTTCAGTTGGAACAACCAGCTCATCTCCAGTGCTACTACTTCTGTTTCTTCTGTGGTGCTACAGCAAAGCTCTCATTTGCCCACCATTCACCTTTATGTGATGCCCTAAACTCCAGAGTTATGTAGTATTACAAATAAATTCACCATTAATATCAAAACACTACTTCAAAAGAGTAGAGGAGAACCAAGTTTGTGCTCTGAGACACAACATTACTTCAGACAAAATGCATTAAGCAAAAGACATCTAAATTTGCAAAGTCAAAGTGGCAGCAATAAAAGATCACGAAGTAAGCATTTATTACTGCTTTTAATAGTAGAAGTACATCAGCATTCTTAGAAAAACTGAAAGGTTTTGAGGTGGCAGGGGAGTATGACTATTTTGTCCTGAAGATTAGCTTTTTTGTGTATGCAGAGTGATTAAAAAGCACAACACTAATCACTTAAGAAATTTCAACTTTTTCTAACAGCTAAAATGAGCCACACAGGTAAGAATCAAGAGAGAACATGCTGACCATGCTTCATGCTTATCTACCATGCTTGCTTGACAGGTACTGAAGGAAGAAGAACTGCTATTTGACTCTGAGAGGTAATAGTAACTGATGAAGCTCTATTACACCTTTGCAGCTTGATACACATTTTAATTCCAGATCCTCTCATCTATTTTCTTGCACAAGGTCTGTTTACTTGGGCTTCCTATGCCAAGTGGTAAATCTCAAACATCTTTAAAAAAAGATTAAGGGTGGGGAAAGAAATCTGAAAGTAGGAAATTAATTAAACATCTATGTATCTTTCCTCCTTCTTGTATGAAATATGTTGGGTTTTTGAATATGTGCCACTAAGTGCTCACATAAATGTTAAAGTGGGGCTGTAGCCTCCTTGTTAGTCAGGGGTGGACACTCCACTGGGTGACAATATTGGTTCCTGGAGCTTGTGGCCAAATACTAGAAATCTATAGGAACATATCATAATATTAATACACTTTTGCATTGAAAATCTCCTTAGTAAATATTATGTATAAGGATTTAGAAATGTATTTTCTACTAAGACACTGAATCAATCCCTCAAAAGGATTTGTTTTAAGATTCTGTAAAAGAAAAATGTTCTCTCTCAAGTATAAAAACTTAAAAAACCCCACAGTAACTAACAGAGATCTTAGAAGCCTATAAACTATAGAAACCACATGTATTACCTCACATGCGTATCCTTCAATTAACTTGTGATTTTCAATAGCAAAAATTAAGTGCTTTGATCTAAACAGCAGCTACAAAAAAATAGCTATTAAGTTTCTTCTTTCTGAAAAGTGATGATTAATATTTAATTGCCTATTTTCACTTTTCAAAGCTGCTCCTTCATAATTAACACATACTCAGGCAATTTAAGTTCTAGCCCACGACATTCTACTTCATTACAAAGCTAAGTGAAAATACTGACAAGCAGCCTTGCTTTGAACTATTCTGGCCCTACGTTACTGCACAGATATGGTTGTTCTCACAAGCAACACTCCGTAGGATAGCTGCAAAAAGTTTCTCTTTAGAAACTGCACTACAAAGGCAGCACAGCTATGGTCTTGGGAAAGTCAACAGCCATGTAGCAAGCAGCGAGCTAACTGCGAGTAAAAAATCTGCCTAAAGATCTGCTAGCTTTATACACAAACTTGCATTTTTTTTTTTATGAGCCTTACCTGACACAGAGACTGTGTGTGACCTTACTCCTTGCTTCTCATTGTTGGCCAGCCTGTAAAACAGAGGTTGGAATCGCTGAATGCTGTACATTCTTCACGGTCACATACACTGGGAATTCATCCTAACAGGGCACCTACTGTAATTAGCAGGGCCAATCCATTTCCCACAGTGACAGATTTTGAGGGGGAGAAAAGTCAGAAAGGAATCTACCATTTCAAACCCATCTGGGGGAGTAAGAGCGGAGAGAATGTGTTACCATTTTAATTAGCATATTGATGCACAACGACAAAGCAAATTTCATGGAAAAACCAAAACCTAAGTTTTACAAACTTTTAAAATCAAGCCCTGCATGTCTAAACTTTGTCAATGTAGGTAATTTGATGGTGCTTCTACTTTCTGTATTATTTACTGGAAATAAAGTATGAATCGAGTTTTTGTCTGTAAGATGACTTACCCTGTACAACAATTTAAAATTGATTTACATGTCAAGTAAACTAAGAAAAACAATGAAATTTAAATGTAGTTAGTTATAAATGTTCATTAATAACAGAAATTCCAATGAACTCTTCTAAATTTTTTCATGTACATATATAAACATAACTTTAATGGTAAGACAGTGAGAGTACTGCACTTCAGAAATCTGGAATTTCATCTGGCAAAGGCCAAATCTTTCCACATGCAAGATGGTGTTGGCTAGTAGTTTTATGTATTTGACAAAAGCCCATTCCTCTGCTGCCAGACTATGAGCATATGTGGTGCCCTTGTTTAAATAGACTCAAGCGTACACATTCAGTTTTGGTAAACGGTCCCAAAAATGGGAAGAAGCTTTTCCTTCAAACCTTATTTTATCCCAGAAATCCATACACAAATAAAAAAAGGATAAAATTTATGTAATTAGAAAGTTATTTTTTCTCAGTTGTATCTACTTAAGTAGAACCCAATTTTCCTCTTGCATATGAGTGCACACTAAGTTTGTCAGTTTTACTGTTTCCAGCCTCGACTTCCATTTCCTTTTCCCCCCTGCATTTTAACGCCTCTCCTTCTGCACCATGAGAAAGCTACCTGGCTGGTGAGGACTGCAGCAGGACCTGTGAAGGAAGAGCAACCACTAGTGTCTAATTGGCTATTTTCTTGCAGATTCAGGAACAAACTGTGTTCCATACTCCACCCAACAGTTAAAAAACGTAATAGTAGTAATTCTGGACTCCTTCCAGGAATCAAGGAAGAAACAGAATGAGGTGGCTGGATCAAAGTAGACACAGTCCCTGTGTCCCAAAGGAAAAAGGAAGAGGTAAGTCACTATAAACTGCTAAATTTCATTTGGTCTTTCAACAGTTATCTCCTGCTACTGGTTACTGGTGATACTGCCTGATAAGGTTCAAGGAAAACAATCTGATGAGACAGTGAGACATGGCTTTAAAATGGGTCTGAATGTGGCTATTGAGAAAGCAGTCAGATTACAAACAAGCAAAAAAAAAAGTGGCTTGGTTAAAGGACTGAAGTTTAGGAGGCCACAATAAGAAACTGCACATGGAAAGGGAAGACAACCATCACAACTTGCCAGATAGGTCAGAGACCTAGCCATTGACACCAGGAGTGTAGAGAATCA